AGGAAATTTCTAAAACCCCTAATAAAATTAAATGGGGTTTAATAAAACTCGAGTAATCTAGTTTCATTATTTATTGCTTCGTTTTATATTGTAAACAATTCGTTGAATTATCTCTTACTCATCTACTTGGCCGTAGAAATATACATGGGCTTAAAAATTAAACAAAAAAATAATACCAATGCAAATACAGAATAGTCAAACATCAACAGATAATATAAATATATCTCCAAAACAAGAAAAATTGTATTACAGGTGTGAGGTTCCCGCAAAACTTCTATAATACACGGAACCAGGAATCTACACTTTGAGTGTCCAATAAAATCTCTGCGAAAACATCACACCACTAAAATTTACATTCAAGTCAATAATTTAAATACTGTTTTATTTTATTGTCAATTTTAAAATACATCAATTAACATCACTACTAAGTATATAATTTATTAAAATTTACAAATATTGTATAATATAATAATAAGAATATGTATAGTTTTTAAAAATAATATTGTTAGCAACATACCAACCAACTAATGTTTAACTTAATCAGATCAAAATTATAGTTAACTATAAAACTTAATAAATTGAACTGTTACTTTTGTGCAATGGGTTTTTGTAAACAAATTATTATATGGTAACTATTTCTTCAAAAACGACTCACATCATCAACCGCACAAGGTACAAAGAAGTTTGCTTACAGACACTTAAAAAAAGTTAAAAATCATTCAGTTATAAAAAGCCAGAAATAAAAACCATCAAGAGATATAGCTGACGAAACAAACAATATCATCTATAATGATTTTAAAATTAAAGAAACCTGCTTGTCATTAGAAATACTTTCAAAAACCTAATTTAGTAACTCAACACTACAATTTAAATTTCTTATTTTGTCTCTATTCATAAATAATGAAAGACCCCGTTACTTAAGTTACTGTAAGCAATCTCTTAAAACCACCCGAGTTAACTTTAATATCAGTTAAATTTAACTCACAAATCCAAAAACCAGTAACCGCGACCCATTTCGATCAGTGTTAATAAAAATATTGTCTAAAAAATGCCAACCGGCTTAGGTAAAAGCTGAAAGCTGAAATTAAATAATAAAAACTGCAAAAAGCTGAATACAAATGTACTAGAGACAATAGTAAAATAAAGACTAAGAAAATTCTAGATTACTTCAAAAAGATTATCCAAATCAATGGAAATGAATTAAATATAGAAATGGTAAATTATCGAGTGTCCAAGTATTACTTCTATTGAAAATTAATCTTGATTACCGATTGTGTCATTCATTAATCCAGTATTGTCCGAGCCTAAATTCCAAATCATCCATAATACATTTGTAATCCATCAGCATTGAAACAACGTATTATTAAAAAATCTGTACAAAAAACTTAAACTACAAATAAAATGTGCAGAAAAATTATTAAAAATCTGTGTCAATAAGCCTCATCGCACGATAATATCAATGAGATCGCTTTACATCGCGTCAAACAATGGAGTAGTCAGCTCAGTTCATAATGATCGCAATATCTTTCGAAAATAACTGTCTAATTTACCACGAGACGAGATGAATTCGTCATTATCAGTATTGTATTTAAGTCTAATTTCCATTATTCAGCATAATAGTGCACGTTGTATCTGATGTCAACTTGAAATGAACTTTTTACTGTATGTTTAAAGCTTCAATTTCAAAACATCTCGTCTCATTGGCTGTTTCTATTCATTGTCGCTCGAAAGCGGAGTTTCTTCCATCGCGGTATTTGTATAGAGCAATAAAATTTACTGTAGAAACTGCCGTTGGAAAACCGCAATGGATTAGGTGATCGATGTTCGTTTTACAACCTGCGGTAGATACCCGGATACAAAGTCAATCGAATAAAGTCCAGTACAAAAAAGCCGGTCAAAATAATTAATCATTTGGCACCTGAAAGGGTATTTGATAATGACAAGTTAATGATAAATAATACTTAAAGTATGCTAACGCCAGATTTCTAAATGAACCAAAGCTAATTTGATATTCAGACTTGCTGCTAGGTCATAAGATAAATGAAATTAATAAATACTGAAACCGGGTATTAGCACACATAACAAAAACTTCATACAATACAATATAATATATAGGCCTGTAAATTCTCTATAGGAGAAGTAATATGTACATAATAAATGGAAACTATAAAGAAATAACACGTGTTTACGAGACGGCGTCGTTACAATACCAACTACTACATGTAGCACTACAGTCTTACGAAGTCGTATAACTTTTATCTTTGTAATCTAATCAAATATAAGGACCATCTGCTAGAGACACTCTTTTTTCATTCTCTCCTCATCGATGAAGCATAATAATCGCTATATTTCACAAGATTACAGAATCTAATGTTCACATAAGTATAAGAAACTATTAGAACTACAATTGGGGCAGAAAATATAATGTGTCATAAAAACACATAATTGGCAACACTTTACTTTTTAGAAATTAACACAACACTAAAATTGTGACGATGTATTTAGTTCGTTGTGAACCTTCCATCTTTGAATCGGTTTAAAATTTAAATGAAAATCTTTCTTAAATCTTTTTTTTTTCATACGACCACACTACCCATTAGAAAAATGGCAACCCCAAAACAATTAATACTCCTACACAATTAGGACTTTGAAATCACCGTTTAGGTACTAATTCATGCATATAGTGACTATATAAAAGTCTATATATTTAGCTAAAACACTATTTATGTATAAACAACAAAATGTAACTATATCATCACTAAGTGATCCCTAAGGTACTACTATATTATATATCAGTGATAGGCAAGTCAATGGGCGTCATATTGTACTCTCAAATGTTTTTCTAATAGCCTTACGTTGTAGGCAAAAAGAAACGTACTTATATTTCAACTTCGTAATCATAAATCAGTCCATTTGCGCTTGCACACGTGTCATATACCTTCATCTGATTCTATAAAAAAGATACATTCGAAAATTATACTTGTCGTTATTTATTTAAAGAGGTTTTTTGTTAAACTTTTCAACCGCTTTTATTATACTCTGAAATTAATATTATTCTTCATATTACGATATGACGATCAATTGACTTGTGATTTGATATAATAAGGACGCATGCAATTACTAGTGGCCCACACTAAGTTCCAAATATACTATCAAGACCTACAAATGTACCAAAGTACCTAAGTATGGAACAGTCCAATGTCTCTAATTCACAGATACAATAAAAAGATTTTTACGAATTTTTTCTTCTAATATTTAATGTCATACTAATTTTAAACATCCATTTACCATCTTGATAGACAGAAATATCTAATTATTGTGACGTTCGTGCGTATAGGCCAAGATTATTCATATCATGTGCATTAAATTCCATAGTAGTTGTAAAAAGTGATGATAGTTCAATATCTTATACTTATTTATAAATATTTAAGAAAAACAGTGTTTTATATAGGGATCGGTTCATATTACATTGATATAGCGGAAAGTTAAATTTAGACGTCATTTTCTTTAACTCTTGCGTAGATGCCACATCGGTTTTTTGTCGTGTAATTCTGCCTCTTATTTATGCAGTTTTAAAAAGGTAATTAGAAAGTTTTTTTCATTTCATCCTCTTCCTATGCAACACGAACCGACCCATAATACAATAGTTATTGCACACATACGTATATATTTGTCTATGTATATATAATCGGAGTATAATGTGAAGTATAATACATTGTGTAAAGTTGTATAACGCTTTCCCCACTAGCACCGAAACCTTGGATTTCAGTTTCCTTTAGACCAATTATGAACACGTACGTTTTATAAGAAATATAGAAACTACACTTCAAATCAGTGGCATGACGCCTTATCCTGTCTATAAAGAGTCGATAAATCCATTTATTTTATTGATTACCAGCGAAATGTACGTAGGATCGACATGACACTAATTTGAAAATCTGCAGTGTCAAGTAAAAAAGCACCAAAAGAAAAATAAATAAACTTAAAATAAAGATCGACAGTTCACGTCAATATACATTTTACAGCATCGATATCGATTTTATATACTTGTGAAACAAAAACAACATTGTCAGTAAAAGTTGGCACATGTATAAAATTGTAAATGATTTGCATCAAATATTTGGTCAATGCTCAACCACTGCGTTTCAATAAGATTTCCACAGACCTTTTATAGCTTTCAGTTTTGGAGACTTCTTTGTTGCCTCGAATTCCTGTTTGAAACTCGTAATGAATTTATCGCGTAAACTTTGTCGCGGCGCTGACGGTTTCAAGAGAAACTTCTTTAAATCATTCGTAAAGCTTTTTGCCGTATAGTTCGGTTCTTCCCTAATCGATTCATCGTTACTCGATTCAAGGAATGATACCGATTTATTTGATTGTATCGAGTTTTTTCGCTCCCGTGAGCCTCTAGGTGTTGATTTGGAGCGCGATGTGATCTTAGGCTGGCTGTAACTTTTCGATACCATCGAGTATTGGTCGTCGTCGATGGAATCGAGGGTGTCCGTGGATCGGTTGCAGACCCTGCAGCAAAGCTGACAGTGTTCCTTCTCACTGTGGTACCTGCCATTGCAGTACACGTAGTTTTCCTTGAGCCGAGAACTCCTCGGTGTCTTTGTTTTATCTTTTGAGGACTTTTCCTTATATTCTCCGCGGTCATTCCGTCTCGATCGTTTCCTGCGGCACTTGGGGCAGTTGTTGCGTGCGATGCGACGGAGTTCTTTGAGAAATTCGTAATCAATTTCGAAATACTTGGCGTCGGGTTCGGAGTAGTACCTGAGGTCGGAGTCGGTGGAGTCGCTGCGGGGCTGCTCCTGCTTGCGCACGGGCTGGTCGTCGCGGCCGGGGTCCGAGTAGTAGGAGGCGGGGCGCGCGGGGCGGGCAGCGCGGGGCGCGGCCGCGGAGTCGGGGCGCTTGGGGCGCGGCCGGTGCGTGCAGAAGGTGACGGCTTTGTCCCGGCGGCGGGGCGCGCGGGGCGGGGCGCGCGGCGCGGCGGGCAGGGGTCAGGCCTGCACGGAGGGCACCCACAGCGTCTTGTTCTGTTCCTCCTCGACGGCCGCCTTGATCTGCGTGCACGTGTACGCTATGTTCACGCCCGCCGGGATCTCCGCTGGAACACATATTACACATTAGCATTCATACAGTCCAAGAGGATTTTAAAACATGATCTCATCTTTTCTGCTATCGTAATTAAGAGCTTACAATACACTATCAGGGATTACAATGACCCAGAACATAGTACAAGATAATATTCCCTTACATACCTGATATGTAACTTCTGTACTCATTTTCGACCTTAAGTCCATGTTCATACATCTCCTTGGCCGCCTTAGCGGTGACCTTGTCCGCGTGCCGCGTATCCTTGACCTCTTTGATTTGTTTGAACGACTTGAATTTTATGAACAGAACTATCGGGTAGATCTGCTGCTTGTGAAGTTTCTCTATCGTGGCTACACTTATGTCTAGGATGCAGTGGATTCCCTGTGGAGGTAAATAGAAAATATTAAGCGAAAAGCTTATTTAATAATTTATACATAAGCAGTACGTTTTGATTTAATGTGAAGTATGGACGAAAACTTTTTTATGGCATAGGTTAGCAAACGAGCAAACGAATTACCTAATAATAAGGAATCGAAAGACATTTATAACATTAGAAGGGGGTTACAAGTGCGTTGCCGATCTTATGGGAATTGGGAACATGAGGTTAGGGATGAAGAGGAGGATTGTGGGGAGAAGGGATATACAAGATATTTGTAAATAGGTTTTTTTTCAAAATTATATGAACTTTGTGTTGGAAGCTAAACCATATTCGTATTTTGGGTACAACAACGTCATAGATAACAAATAAATAAAGCGTGTTTTCAGGAAATTGCTAGACACATGTTTGATATCATTTATGGTCAATAACTCAGTTGTGAGTAATTTTAGTATTTATGACGTTATTTATGTTATAACTTTCGTGAGCGAAAATTAATTAACCATTATTTTTTTTGGCTTAGTCACGTATTGTTTTCAGTAACAGCACGACAGTTGCCGCATCGCGGGTTGCGGAATGCTGCTCATGAATAAGTTCTTCTTCAAGTAATTACGTGAGTAAGCCGAAAAACAAAATAATGTATGTATGTAGAGTACCTTCTCTGCCAGGTCGCGGATGGCGTGCAGCGGGATGCAGTCGATGTGCGTGCAGTCGGGGCGCAGGCGCGGCTCCAGGTGCGTGCCGCGCTGCAGCGCGGGCGCGGCGCCGGCCACGGGCAGCGCGGCGGCGCGCGCCAGCCCGAACGCGTGCGGCCAGTCCGACGCCAGCCGCGCCGCCACCGCGCCCGCCAGCGGGCCCAGCACCACCACCGGCCGCTGCGTGCCGTCTGCCGGGACAGCATAAACATAACATCACATTACGGCACTTAATGCCACAATGTAACACCCAGGCACATCTCCAGATCCCGTGCAATGGGGATGATGACAGGGTATGAAAATTAAAAATATAATTAGTCCGTAAGTTAGGTAATGAAAAAATATTAGACACGTATTTTTTTATTTTGTCGTATAATAAAACAATACTTAGATAAAACGAATCAAAGTTTAGGAGTGGGGGCTAAAACGTCATTTCTTAGTATAAAATGTACTGAGAAGTGACGTCACGCGACATTTCAAATCAATATATCTTCGAAACTATTCGTTTCTGTGAGAAAATAAAAAATACGTGTCTAATGTTTTTAAATAATCTATCAGACGGACATTAAAATAAGTCGTCTACCCCTTATGAGTTTAAAATTTGTGAGCCAACTGATCCTGCTAAAAATGCTTTTGCTTTTGCTTTTGCTTTAAACTGATTTTTTTTATAAAATTGACGCTCTAAAATTGAAACCCACAACAGGTTCATCAATTAAACTCAGTCAATACTTGTCGAATCAAAATATTAAAATTATACAGGAAGATTATTACCCACAAACACCACTACCAAACATGCTTAACAACAATAAAACAAAAAATACAAAAGCGACATACTCAAATATAACTCACAGTGCAGTCTCTCGACCCGTTGGTAGGAGAGTACTGGCACGTCATCAGCCAGGGTCCCGCTGTCACTCCAGCAGCCCAGCTCCGTGTTGGAGAAGGACGCCAGTTCCTTGCTGTCTCTGTGCTTCTTGCGACGGAAGAAGGAACGACGCGCCGTCGTCGACGCTCGTCTCTGAGCGTCGCCTTCCAGTGTCCCCATCGATCGTCTGAGTATTTCTTCTACCCTGAATTGAGAATGATTAGTATTTAGTTTAATTCGTTGTTTATAATAATTACGTGGTTTGTATATAAGCAGTGAGTATAAGGTATTTTAATAGCCCGAGAGAGTCCCTGTACTATAGGACTTTTCTAAAAAAGAGGGGTTTGCGCTTTTTCATTTGAGGGACGATATGATTACAAAATATTTCACCAAACATTTGTAACATGTAACTGAACTCACTTAAATTTACTAGGAATGGTCCCCCAGTGCCGCTTGGAGCCCTTGCAGTCGAGTTGCCAAGCGCGCCAGAGTCCGGGCGAGCCGTTGAACAGTGTGTTGTCGACAAACAGTACTTCATCTTTACGGAACCATAGAGAGTACTCGTCGATGGTGTCCATGCCCACGGACGTGATCTTGGCGCACCGGTCGAAGCCAGCGCGGATGTAGAACGCGTCGCCCGGCTTGTCCTTGATCTCGTGGTACTGTTGTAGATCGTGTCTCACTAATACGCTCACCTGAGGAATATTAACGATGAGGTTATTCTTTGTCTTTACGAAATGGGCACCAATACAATAAATTACAGGGATATAATGATGGTCTCACCTTATCCGCCGGCTTAGCTAGTTCCAACGCAGCTTGCTCAGCAGTGGCTCGCCTCAGATCCACGTTGTTATACTCCAATATCTGATCGCCAGTCCTCAGCCCCGCATTATACGCCGGCGACTCTATTTGCACGCTGTGCACAAATATACCCACTGCATTACCCCCCACCAAACTTATCCCTAAGTCCGAACAATTTCTCATTTCAATCAGAAGAAATCTAGGCAAGTCTTTGTTGTTCTGTGACTGCCTCAAGGTAGCCACTTCAGTCGAAGGCTGCTCCAATCTAATAGATTGTTGCGGTCCAGGAGAATTTCTAGGTGTTGGTGAACCAGACAATGAAACTTCCTCGTCGTGCGAACTCTCACCAGACGACGAGCTTCCAGGAACTTCCACTTCATCCTTATATTTCTCTGGGCTATATTGCACGAGCATAGTTATCGAGTTCCCGATCTGTCTGAGGACTCGAGCGGCGAGCGTGTAGGTAGCGGAGCGCATGTTGATCCCACACACTTCTAGCAGTTGGTCTCCCACCTGCAGCCCGACCTGGCTGGCAAGGGAGTTGTCGTTCACCGTGGACACGAACACCCCGCCACTGCTGGGCGGGCAGTATATCTGTATACCGAGCGGTTGCTGGCTCTTATCTATGTGTACTCTCCTTAACTCGCCGGGCAAAGGTTTGTTCCACCCTAAGCCGCAATACTCGGGCATAGAATTCCTAGTTTTGTGCGTCAATTGCTTCGCTCCCCGACCCGGAGATAAAACTTCGACGTGAAATGTAGGCATCGGAGAATTCCGCTCAGAACTTCTCTCTATTGACCCTGTACTTAACTTTCCCGCGGAGTTTTTTGACGTGACACTCGGGTTCGAGGGGATACGAAACCTCTGATTCTCTTTCTTACGAGGAAATGTTCCACCTTCATACGTGTGGTGGTAGTCGCCACCCCTAGTGTTGCGCGGCACTGGCTGGAGGTCAGACATATTGTGAGTGTGAGACGTGAACGAGTGCATGTCGTAGCTCGTGCCGATACTCTCACCCGACTGACTTTGGGGGATATTTGTTGGACTCGCTAAGTGCGGATACCTACTTGAGGTATGAGGGTTTGAATTCACAAAAGGGCCTCTGTAGTATTGAGAAGCTTGAAGCCTCGATTGTGATGGCAAGGTCCCCGTCATGGGAAAATTTGCGTTACTGTTCAAACTGTCCGGTCCAAAGCTATCACTGTCTGAAGGGTATTTGTTCACAGTCTTCGGTGATGATGACTTCTTATTCGAATAATATTGATCTAGTAAGTCTTTTCCTGGGTGATTCTTGATCGAGTGTTCTAACGAGCTGGGAGATTTCCTTGGGACAAAATCCAGTGAGTTTGGTCCCTTGTTGACAATGAAGTCTAAGGAGTGCGGGCTTTTAGTCCGGTTGCGTGTAACTGGCTGGTAGTCCAACGAGTCGTCTGACGGGTTTAGAACCAAGCTCAGTCGGTTCGGTGTGACGTCGTGTTCGGAGTAATCACTGATGGACATCTTGTCCTTTTCTAACGTACGAATCTTCTCGAAGTTCATACTGTTCGGGGAAGCGAACGGTTTGTGTATGGTTAAGGGGGCGGGCTTCGGAAAGTGTTCGATAGCTGGCGAGGACTCTATGGACTTGTACACGGAGTGGCGAGCTGGCGTGGTGACCTGAGTGAGGGGTGCGTGTCCCAGGGGGATGGGGTTCGAGTTTCTATTGGTGTTGGAGCGCTGCGGTTCCGGCGGGAGTTTAGTAGGCGGGCTGAGCAGGATGGACAGTGGCGGCCTCTCCTTCCTGGAGCGGGGCTGTACGATGGTTCCAGTCGAGTTCTCCTCTAGTATGAAGTTGGCCCGCGCCTTGGGCCACGTGCCACCATTCTTAGAATCACTCTGTGACTCTTTGTTCTTTCTCCGCGAACGTTTTAGCACACTACTCGTCTCTTTGACTGTAAAGACAAAAATAACAATATCATCACAAAGATAACAAAAATCATAACCTTAACTTCGATTAATAAGTTTTCTAATTATATCATGCAATTAATTAATATATTACTCACTTGTTTTTCCATGATAACTATCGATAACGGAGTCTAGCTCCGCGATCGCATCAGATTCCGGCACCTGTGCAAATAACACACATTTACACGCGATGAAACAACTTCGTTGAGTGGCACTATTGTACTGAGTGACGTCACACGTGCATAGTATGCATCAGAGGGGGAAATATGTAAAGAAAATGAGACCGACGGCCTCTCAGGTTACAGGTGCAAGAGCGACTGCAATTAAATGTAAGCTATCGTACGAATTTCAGTGATAAGACCAAATTGCAATCGGTGAATCGTTGTGTCACGAACTAACGTGTGTGGACTTCCCCTGACATGCGTTAGGCACGCCGCCACACGCATGTTTCTCAATGTCTATGATGGTAATCTCAACAACAAATGTTTTAAGCCCTAATTTAATTAAGTTTGATTTATCAACAACGCTTGCGCATCAACATGTTGAGACGCTTGTCACTCAATCTTAAGTTTCATAGTTACTAAAAATATTTTGCATAAATACTTAATTTTAATAAGAAACCAACCAAATTAGTCAATAATTGATATGCGTCATGTCTGGGGATCAGTGATTTACATATACCTACATAAACCGACTTCATATCGGGCTACATTTATCCAGTTCTATCTAGAATCGGATTATACTAAAACTGGAAAAAGCCAGCCCAAAGCGGCTCATCGACCAATATCTACTTCTTTGTGCGCATACATACACATGCGCATACGCATCGCACGCATACATCGACGAATTTGACATAAAAACATGTTTACAAGTAATATTTACCTTATTCTGTTTATCCTTGGACTTGCTTCGACCAGTCACCGCCTCAATTTTCCCCCGGATCATGTCCCAAGTCCCTGCGATCATCAATGGATTGATATCTAATCGATTTAAAAGCTATCTTATCGTATCGATACACACGTCAAGTGGGGCACGCTACGTACAAACATTAAACGATTATATCAAGAACACACGGCAAAATCTAGCTATGCCAGACCAGTATAATATGACCCATGAACGTGCTGAAAGATCATACAGAAAGGGACCATGATATAGTGGACCTGTATAACTTGATATGCAGTCGTGCGTACCTATGCGGTTTATTTATATTGTCAATATTATTTAGTTTCTTTTTTGGTCTGGAAAAATGTGCGAGTGAATTGTAACCAGGATTGAGTTCAAATAAATATTTTGATAAGATAACTCGGCAACTAGTTTTTGCTGGTTCCCATAATATTTTGATGTTTTTGACATAGTTTGCATATCCTTTATAAGATAGACACCGCGTTTAACAGAGACGTGTGGGTAAAAAGTCAATGTACGTATGTTTACAATACATTTTCACTAAAAAAGCACACTACAGTAGCATATAATACAATCTGCTGGTTTGATTGTGGGCAATAAGATTTTTAAATTACAAGCTATCGCCCTACTACTAGAAGCTTCTCAATTTTAAGTTCTACCTATGTATGTAATATATGTATCGTGGCATCTCTGTCTTTTTACAAAGGATAAATAAACTGACTGAACTATATAAGACAGAAATAAGTCAGAGAAGTTGAATTTACCATAAACTAAACCACTTTATACCATAACAACAAGCGTATTAGGTACAAAATGAATTATTTTTATATTTAATTTGATTGTAATCTTACCTCTCTCCTGTGGTATCTTCCCCTGGCTCCCCGCGGCTACATGGTACACATATCTTCTGTCGAAGTCTGGCATACCGTGATCTATGTGGACCTGTTACACAAACAGATAAATATAATATTATTATTATTCCTTGACGATAACTGACTACAAGCATGAAGTGTGTGATAGAGAAAAAATTGAGACACAAAATATAGAACGCGATAAGATGTATAAAGAAAGTTCTGGAATATACACTTGACTTGAAGTAGTTAAATCTGCATTTGTTGTGAAACCTCCTCTGTAGGTAGAGATGTACATTTTTTATGTTATACCAACATTTTGTTGTGTTCTTTTTTTTTTAATTGGGACAAGCCCGCCCCAACCTCCGAAGACCACTGCAACTCTAGTAAGCCAGGATCTACAGTATCTACTGTGGAACACTAAAATCCAGCGCGTCCCAGGGACATGAATGTCTTGGTTCCCGCAACGAAATAAACCAGATATTTTAAGAGGAGAAGAAAAAACCATAGTCTCCACTTCCTTTAGTGAATTGCTGTAGGAGACAGAATGAAATAAACCTAAAGGCGCAAAAAATTGTATGTATTAACAAACTTTTCCTGAAAATTGAAGATTACTTTACTTTTGCTCGAGAGATGAATGAGATGGAAGCTAAAGAAGTATGTTATGACCAAAATAGGCAGAATGGTTATCTAATGGTACACGGACATGGATGTGTTTAAGTGTGTGTTTATATAGTTAAAATTTATACCAAATGCTTACCTTAGTATCGGAGGATGGCTGTACAAACTGGCACCAAGACTCGTCAGTCTGCGAGCAGATGTTCACCATCTTACTGTCAGAGTACGAGCGGGAGTGGTCGTACATTGACATCCTGTCAAACGAAAATACACCGTTTGTTTAAAGTGGTTGAGGTCAATTCGCCGGGATCACATTTCATTACACATTACATGCTGCCACCCTGATTCTTTTATTTTGCTTTTGTTATAATGTTTTTTTTTTGCATTCATTGTTTTTTTACTGCTGTTTTTTTTTTGTTATTTTATGTTCTTATATTGTTTTCTTTTTTTTTATTTTTGTTTTTCAATGTTTATTTAATGTGTTAATATTCGGTGGTCCATGTCTAGTGGCGAATAAATTATTTTTCTTTCTTCTTCTTCTTCTTTCTTTCTTACACATTTAGAAATTAATGATTAAAAAATGCAATATGTACATATTATTATTAAAAATGAAAACTATGGTTATATGATCACGGTAATTTCACATTTCTTAAGGTGTAATTAAAGGCTATTACTGCTTGAAGCTTCCTACATCACAATTAAGGAAAAATTATGTAAATATTCACAGACAGATATGACAACAAAAACAAAAGAAATTCTTTAAAATCACTTAAATGATTGATAACACCTATCAAATCAAGTCAGGGTCAAACGAAATTCCTTTTAAATGAAACACTATTATACGAACTAGCCACACCTGCACGGTTTCAGCCGCTGATCCATTCAATACAAAAAAAACAATTTGAACCAGTTCTGGAGAATAGCACGTTCAAACAAACAAACTGTTCAGCATTGTATTCTAGTATAGATAAATAATTCTAAGTTTGTAGGCAACATTCTCCACTCACCATCGCAAATCAAATGATACTACAGATCAGTACGTAGTTATCTCAACATGACCTTTATCTCGAATATTTGTGGAGCGGATATCGGCCGCCATTGTGAATTGTGACAAAAATGATCACAAAGTTACCGCTGTTGGTAAACAAGGCACTCAACCTTATTCCTAACTATAACTTGGTAACATGGTATTGTTGACGAAATTAGTTATCATGAAAACAACTGAAAAAGAGTAACCTATGGAGTTTCTTGTTCGTTCTTCTCATTTTTCTCTCAGTTCTCCCACTAACTTCATTATATACCATATTTCTGATGTTTAGAGACTAATCTTGTGTAAACAAATTTTCGGTACGACATATCAACGTATTAAGATTAAGTGATGGAAGGAAATAGGAAAATATCGTATATATCTTTTAACCCAGAATGCTAATTGTACCATAACTTCAGTATTTGCGCTTGCGCAGACATGACAACCAACCAACAAACAATTGCCATTAACTTTGTTTTTTTGTTACTATGCTTTGTCTATCTACTCAATAACATAACATAACATCACGCCTTTTATCCCCGAAGGGGTAGGCAGAAGTGCACATTATGCCACTGTACAATGTAACACCCACTTTTCACTATTTATGTTATGAGTCCCATGTAATAGGTGGTGAGCCTATTGCCATATTATCTGTATTGCCGTATCTACTCAATAAGGGAGTTTAAAAGTACCGAGTAGGATATAAGCAAATGTAAAGCTGGTAATCCATAATTTGGACCTTATATGCCATAATATAAGGGTGCCTCACCTGTCCCTAGTACTATTGCAGCATGTGTACAAGGGCCTCAGCAGAGTGAGTGCGACGGACTCGTACTGGCACTCGTTCAGCAACGCCATCGCCTCCGATACACTCTTCACACCCTCCAGGGACACGTTGTTTATCTGCAATATTAATGACATGTTATTGGAATTTCGACTTTATTATAGAAGATGTTAAAGTTTAAAGATTGATGTAGCTTAATATCGTGTTGTCTCCAGTGTTTACATGCATACTGATATCAGATAGGTATGTACAATTTTCAACTTTATCTTAAGAGATTATAGTTTAAAATCTATTAAAGATAGACAGATTCGTATAACTTAATGTGCTGCTGTCTATATTATCAACATACCACATCTATCTATCCTCAATGTTATGTACTCCTGATAAATAGTGCTATCTATAATTTTTTCGATGAAACTATGTAGGAAACTACGTAGTTTATCTATCCTTGGCATTTTTGTAATGTTTTGTTTACAATAAGTTTATCAAATCACAAAAGAAATGCGATTGGCAGTTGCAGCTATTTCTGCACTACCCAAAGGACGACAGGCAGCGAATGCTACAAGCATTGTAAACCTTAAGCAATTGGGTACTTGCCAACTAGTTAAAATCAATACTTTTTTTCGAACTGTGAAAAACGACAGTTTTCTATGCATTTTGTACAAGATTGTGTATTGTGACGTCACGTTTTTATAGCGTCAAATAACATAAACATTTCGTAAAAAAAATGCCAGAAGAACACTAACATTAAGTTTATCATAAAAGCAATTAATAATAATGTGATTATTTTTTGATGTTTTATTGTATTGAACTGTCAAAATAATTTAATTTTGATTAAGGATTATCCAATTGTATATAACTTAAAAAATTATAAATATTGGCACGTGTAGTAAACATATTTATAGTAAGTTTTGATGTGTTCTTTGTAAAATAATGAAATATATTCTGTAATGTATACTCACACTAACAACGCGATCACCGATATACAAGTTGCCTTCTTTAGCAGCAGCGCTGCCGTTTGCTATTTTGCTTATGAAAATACCTGTAAACAATATTAGTTGGTTTAGTATGTGACAGTAACGTGATTTACTGTGTATTTAAGAAAGTCGAAATCTATATGTTTGGAATTTAATCAAAACATTAAGGAAATAGAAATTTTTGCCAGAAAATAGTAAAGTTAATAATGGGGATAGCGTTTTTAACTTTTTAAGCTTATCAGGTGACGCTAAGGGTCAGTTTATACGGAGAGAATTGAAGTTGCACGTCTGGACGTATGTACGACCACCATTTAGCGCAATTTTTAAGAATTTTCGCTTAATTTACGGCCGTAAAATTGCCGTCACCTTTCATTAACCTTTTTGCACCTATCACATACATTTCTGCACTACCCAAAGGATGGCTGGCAGAGAATGCTGTTAGCATTAAGTCCTTCTTACGCAATAGTGTAAAACTTAAATAGATAAATAAAAAAATTAATCCAGATATTTTTAGTGCCAAACTCGTGGACTGAAAGACAATTTAATTGGACAAATAGGATTTTCCTATTTTAGCGCTATCTGGTGATAACAAAAACGTTAGCCCATATTGAATGTATTGTGTCGGAGTATACATATGTAAGTTACAACGAATATTTTTTTTTAAGGAATAGTAGGCAAACAAGCAATCAGCTGACTTGATGGTAAGCGATCAGCGCCACCTATGGACACCCGCAACACTAGTAGAGTCATGGGTGCGTTGCCAGCCTTTTAAAAAGGAGTAAGCTCCTTTATTGAAGGTTTGTAAGTCGTATCGGTTCAGAAATACCGGCGACGACAAAAATTTTCTGAAAGCTTTGGGAAAAGCGCACAGATGTAGCCTGCCAAGTATGTATACGATGAGGATACCGTACCGTGGTGCAGTGCGATCCCGCGGGCGTCTGCCAGATGCAGGCGGTGTCGTCGCGCGCGCGGGCGCTGCAGGCGGAGCGCGGCGGGCGCCCGCGCGAGCGCGCCGCGCAGGGCCGCCGCGGCCGCCGCGCCGCTGGCCCACACGCACACCCCGCACGCCTCCGTCACGCGGTCCTGCACTCTGCGCCCACCACACGGGTTAGTATTCAAACTCAACACATTTATTTCAATTAATCCTTAATTAGGCACTGTTAAAACATCAACAATTAAATTCTCCGTCCGTCTGTCTGTCTGTCAGTGAAGCTAGTCACTCGTTTCAAAGTTTAGTCTCGAATGGAGAATAACAACATACATACAGATTAACTCTTTAAAAAAATATATTTTATAGTCTCATCTCATTCTCATTTCAAGTCTTTCAAATAAAATGAGCAACTACTTGGCGAAAGTATTTCAGCCCTTATACAGATGACGAAAGACAATGATAGAAGTTTTATTTCAATAAAACTTATCTATCTTTAGTAATTTGGGGTACTTTTCTTCCTTGTGTCATTTTATATGTACAGTGCAACCGTACACATTTAAAGTCAGCATTTTTACGCATCGTAATTCATTTACCTAATTATTCGATTCTGATCGTATCGAGCAATTAAGTCCGCCGTGCGTTCTCATAATTCAAATTCGCACTCACGCATCTTCGCATACAGTTCACTCAATCCATTTTACGTTAGTTTATTATTTTACTATACATTATAGGACTCTGTTTAATGTGTATAATGTACGCTTACAGCTCCATTTTTGTATTCATTAATTTGTAGTAAGTTAGTCTGATAAATATCCACCAATAAAATAAACTGTCTTAAAAAGTAATTACAAATAAAAACGATAACCATACACTTCATCTCAACAAATCAACATCAATATGAAAAAGTGGAATATCTATTCACAAAATAACCTCTAAAAAGACAATGACCTCAAAGCTTAAACTACAAAATACAGCACTTACTTGATCTTCCCATCAGCAATGGATCCCTTTTTGACAGCAGTGACGTATATGCTGCAGTCGTTAGGATAGTATGGCTCCTCCCTGCCACCAGCCAGTTCGAAACCCAGCTCCCCATCCTTGCCCAGACCAGACAACTCCACGTCTATTATTTCCCACTCGAAGTCCTGTAGAGAGAAGAATATATATAGACTTTTTTTAAGGGGGAAAATCATCGAATGGCTTCTCCGACTTTATAAAAGAAAGGTTGGAGTCGGCTTTTCTAAACGTAGTTTATATAACATTCAAGACTGAGATTGGTGATTAATAAAACATTCTTAACGTTGTAAAAATTAGGGTTCTCAAAAATAAAGTCCACATTTTGTTCAAGTTATCACATAAACAAACAAGAATAAACGAATTGTCATAGAAAAAAAAATACTTGTTATAATTTTAAAACCGTAGTTTTAGCATTCTCTGGGACGCTAATGAAGCGGAATGACTATCTATCCAATCACTAAATTGAAGGACCAATAGGTTCTTAATTAGCGTGACCTAATTTGATTAACTTCATATAGTTAATCAAAGACCATAGAGACTATTGACATAGTCAATCCAAGTACAATTAACCTCATTTTGACAGTAATACTTTTAACGGGCTTTTAAAAGGAGGAAGTTTCCATCTTTATTATTTTAACGTACTAAACGCCTTGGTGTCACCGGTGACCGACGTCAGCGGAGGATTTGCCTTCAACAAACTAAAAATGTAATAAGTTTTAATCGATAAATCTTAAACATAAAACTCATCATCACTCACTCACTCAATATCATACTCAGTGTTCGTGAAAACCCTATAATAGTGAGACTCCAATAAAACAGGATAAAAGAAGTGCTTAGTAAAAAGTTATAGTAAAATTAATGTCCTCCTCGCCTGCGATACAGGATTGATTGATTAATGCAAGTATCTTCTGTAAGATCTCTTTGTAAGGTCAATTGTACGCATTATATTTTTGTATTTTGCATTTATGAATAAAGATTTATTCCTTTAGTAAAAAAAACTGTTTTTTATTGAGTTAGGTTAGATAACAGTCAAAACTGCTGGGATTTATATTGCAATGTAATTTACGACTATGAAGAAATTCAGATACAATGTAAATTGTTTAATGAATTAATGAAATGAAATGAAATGAAACCCTAAGGTGTTCCTAACCTGTATATCAGCATCAACAGCGGAGTCCCTCGAGTGAGTATGTCTCCTGCAGTCCTTGCGATCGTCGTCCTCCGTCATAGTGGAGCGTTTGTCCTTACTCTCCTTCTTGTTGCCATGGCGACGGGCGCACTGTAATAACAAAACAGTTATCTAATATTATAACTTTCGTATCCTTACTTATATTATAAATCGGAAAGTGAGTTTGTTTGTTTGTTCCGCCTTCACGACGTAACTACTGAACCGATTGCTTTGAAATTTTGCAGAGGTAAAGTTAGAAGTCTGGATTAAATAATAGGGTTTATCCCGGAAAAATTTGATATTCCCGAGGGAAAACAAAAGTATTGGTATAGATGGCGCTGTGTGTATTGGTATATGTCACATAGTCTACTTTTTATCCTTTTGTGCTTTGCTTGCCAAAGCCGCGGGTAAAAGCTAGTATATACTAAATATATTATTATGTTTTCGGCTTACTCACGTAATTAGTATCACAAGTACAATCAGTAGCAGCGCGACAGTCGCCGCGTTGCGAGTCGCGAAATGCTGCTCGTGAATATAAGCCTCTAGCATGGCTTGAAATTAGTCGAGTTCTTCGTCAAATAATTAGAGTAAGCCGAAAACATAATAATACAGTTATTTAAGTACGAATTCAATTCAATGTTCATGACTAAGAGTTGTAGCGTGTCTTGAAACCTGTCGAGTTATTTCGTTAATAAGTTACGCGTGTAAGTCGTAAAATATAATTAGTTCCTGAACTTCATTATTTTTCCGGTATTAATTACATGGGACTCATAACATAAATAGTGAGTGAGTAAGTGCCGTTATGTGCACTTCGCCTACCCCTTCAGGGATAAAAAGCGTGATGTTAGGTTATGTTAATTTAAATAAATAAAATCAAATTATTCAAGTAACACTCACAGTCCTATCCCATAGAGGAGCGTCTGCTAACTCGCCCACCATTTGGTCGCGTTCCTGAAATGACACAATTACTTATTTATCAAGCTTAAACAAGGGCTTTTGGTAACATCCAGTGTAGTTTTTATAACTTATTTTAAGTCACCGATTTTTTATGGAATAGGAGGCAAAAGAGCCGATGGATCACCGGATGGTAAGCGATTAGCGCCGCCCATGGATACCCGCAACACCAGAGGAGTCTCAGGTGCGTTGCCGGCCTTTTAAAAAGGAGTACGCTCTTTTCTTGAAGGTTTGAAGGTCGTATCGGTTCGATATTCTCTTATAAAACAATAATAGCACATGAATTTACCTTTCTCAGTCGATTACAGAGCGCTTTCACGCTCTCTCGCTCTTGCAGTAGCTTATCTCTTTCTGAGAAAGCCCAGTCTCTTCGCCGTTTCGATACCTGAAGGAAAACGAATAACTTGAAAATGTTGTAAATCAAAACCAGTGTCATTAATGTCTACCTCGCACTGCGATTAAACGCGCAATACAATATTTCGTCCAAAATCCATAAATACTTGACTATGACCCCCGTATGTGGCTGAAACTAGTGACTTCGCGAAACAGTTACAAGAGCAAGCCGTAATAATTCGTTTAATATATTGACACAAACCCCCTAAAAATAACACATAATATAACATAACATCAGGCCTTTTATCTCCGAAGGGGTAGGCAGAGGTGCACACAGAAGTAACCCCCACTTTTTACTATTTATGTTATGAGTCCCATGTAATAGGGGGTGAGCCTATTGCCATATACCGGGCACAATTCCAGACTCCGTGCTACTACTGAGATTTTTTTTTAAATCCACTAATACTTTGCCCGACCCGGGAATCGAACCCGAGACCCATTGCCCGGCAGTCGCAATTGCGACCACTTGGCCAACGAGGCAGTCTAAAAATAATAAAGGGAAAAAATATCTCACAAGGTCTTAGCAATGGAAGGTCGATTATGTTTATGTATGATATAGTGTACAGTAATTTCATCACAAATCTAGTAAAATCGAATATCAAGTCACAGTACCCTTCACTTAAGGAACAGAGTATCTATATAGATAAGTACCTCAGCCTCCCTCTGCGCGTCAGCCAGTTCAGCCTGCAGCCTGTCGATCTGCTTCCGCAGTCGCTCGAGCTCCTGGTTGGCTTGTTCCAGGTTGTCCACGCGCTCCTTGTCCACGCCGTCCACCACCATGCCCACTAGACCTGGAGGGGGGAGGGGGACGGTGAAATTTGGTCACATGGAAATAAGTAAAAACTATAGAGCATGTTACTACGAACTTTAAGGCATGTCTGTTTTCGGCGAAAGATTTGTTATAGGTGCACATGCTAACTTCAAAAATGACTGTATGCCATCGATGTGGAGTCCTATTTAAATGAAAGCAGGACGTCGCAATATAGACTTACGCTGAACAGAGTTCCTGACTAGGTAACCTATGCTAATATTGTAAAGACCGTCAGCGAAGATGCTACTTTTAACACCCCTTTCCCTCTCATCCCCTCTTTGTCTCCCCAGCGCTCCCTCTTCCTCTAATCTCTGTGAAAGTGAAATTATTTATTTTGTTTCTTACCTTGCAACTTATCCAATGATGGATCATTGGAGTGTTGACCGTTCAGAAATCCGTCATTGCCCACACCACTTGCTAGCCCCAAGTGGTGGTACGCCGAGGTGTCTTGTCTACAAAATAAAATTGTAAATATTAGTTTTTGATTTGTTTCAGTTTGTAGGGGGGACATGCACACGTTTTATATTAGTGTAATCAGTGACTTTCGTCTCCTAATAACTACCCTAAAAGTTTGATTGGTAAGCAATCCACGCCTTCCATGGAAACCCGCAAAACAAGAGGAGTTACAAAGTACGTTGCCGGTTGTTCAGGCATTGAAGAGCTTCATGTAAATCCGTAGATTTACATGAAGCTCTTCTTATATTATTTATTTTAACATTGGACAAACCATGAATCAATTACTCTGGCTCACTAACAGTAACAAAGTTAGTGATTTCTTCATTATCACCAGTATTTAATGTTAGAAATCAATACGACATACCTGGACTTCCCTAGTGTGGACGTGTTCTGTGGTGTCTTGAGATCTGTGCACTCTTTGATGGCGCGGTCTCGGTCCACTAGTGCAGACTCGATCTCGCGACGGAGACTCTCCGCCTATGGAGATCAAGCAAAATGTTCCATTATCATCATCCGCTTACACTTACGCTAGTTTTCAATTCTGTATTCTTATCTCGCTCTATCTCTTCCTCTACCTATCTCTTTCTCTTTTTCCTATTCGCGTCTTTCTCCCCGCACTACCCTTCACACTTTTCTAGCTCTTTCACTACCTTTTCCATTTCCTTTTCCGCCTCTCAACTCACTTCCCTACTCTACCTTCTCTGATTCCCCCGATTTCTATACCTTTACTCTCTCTCTCTCCCCTCTCTACCGCTACTTTCTCATTCCCTTCTTCACCTTCCATATCTGTCCCTCACCTTACACTCTCTCTTTCTCACCCTCCCTCAGTCTCTACCGCACACAGTAACGCTCTCACCTGTAGTGCAGTGGCCCTCTGTTCCTCCCTAGACGCCTGTAGCGCGGACTCCAGCGCGGCCACACGTTTCAACGCAGCCTGCAGGTCGTCTGATAACTTCTCCATCTCTTTATGTACTGTGTCCCTGCGATGTAACAAAATAATAAGATAAGAGAATAAGAGAAATATTAAATACTGTATACTTTTGCAGATCATGGAATTTTGATGACAAAGATCACACTTTGAGATCCCAAATTCTATACAACAAAACGTTTCCTTTAGTCTCCATCTCTATCCCACCCGTTTTTGAAGTTGAAGCAAGTCTTGTAATAAAAAGTTATTTTCTTAGAAATTGTAATAAAGAATTTGAACTTGTTTTTATCGGCGACCTAACTACGATCCTAAATCCGTCTGCAAAGTAGAGAGACGATCAACCCCTCCCCCGTCCCCCTTTACAGCCTAAACATCTTCACGTAATCACTTATTTTCTAATCTTCATTTGACTTACCTCTCACTCATAATAAGCGTGTACTCCGCCATGGCGGCGTTCCTCTCGTCAGTGAGGCGCTTGATGTCGGCGCGCTCCCGGGCGCCGCCCTCCCACTGCCGGACCACGTGCGCCACTTGCTGCTTCAGGGCGTTGCGCTCACGGATCTGGGACAATCATATTATGAGAGGGTTAAAACATAGCATTGTAGTGGAAATAATTTAGAGAAACTGATCTAAAATTGTTAATCTCAATGAGTATATGCTGTAAAGTAACATTTGGTAATGCTTGTTTAGTCTCTCAGTAATCACAACCATACGCCCGCTACTAAATGAGTGCAAATTGTATCACCTTATTTCATACTGTGGTTCATAAACTACAGAATTAAGTAACATATTGATGCTACATACCAAACCATACATAGTTTTGCAATAAGATAGATTTAACATAACATAAAACCACGCCTTCGGCCTTTTATCCCCGAAGGGGTAGGCAGAGGTGCACACAGAATTAACACCCACTTTTCACTATTTATGTTATGAGTCCCATGTAATAGGGGGTGAGTCTATTGCCATATACCGGGCACATTTCCAGACTCCGTACAACTACTGAGATTTTTTTTAAAACCCAGTAATACTTTGCCCGCCCCGGGAATCGAACCCGAGACCCATTGCCCGGTAGTCGCACTTGCGGCCACTCGGCCAACGAGGCAGTAAGATAGATTTAGATAAGATTATTTTTTAAAAAGTTGTGTCATTTAAACTTTTTGAATTTTATTTGTGGTGATTTGTTTACCGAGGACTAAACTATAGACGGATAACTAATTATTTATACTTACAACAGCATTCCTCTCTTGCGTCAAGTCATGACATTGTGTCTTCAGTCTGCTATTCTCTTCCTGCACGATTCGGAGCTTCTCCAGCGTAGTGTTGTGGGTCTCTATTAGGTCGTCGTATCTGTAACGAATTATTTTGTATATATTAGCTTCTGCCCGCGACTTCGTACGCGCAATCAGGATATTTCCCGGTCCATGATTTTCGGTAAAAAGTAAAAAAAAAATATTGGGTAAAAAATATCCTATGTCGGTCTCCTGGCTCTAAGCTACCTCCCTACCAATTTTCAGCCAAATCGATTTAGCCATTCTTGAGTTATAAATAGTGTAACTAACACGACTTTCTTTTATACCTATATATAGATAGATTAACTTATTATACTAAAGAGGATGTCGCTGAATCGAAATGGCTACAAAGATGCAAACAGAAATGGAGGATGTTCAAGGAGGCCAATACCAAGATGGTGTAGATAGGCTACATACAAAGACGAGCTTACATAACATAAAATTACATCACGCCTTTTTTATCCCTTAAGGGGTAGGCAGAGGTGCACATTACGGCACTTAATGGCACTGTACAATGTAACACCCACTTTTCACTATTTATGTTATGAGTCCCATGTAATAGGGGGTGAGCCTATTGCGACATACCGGGCGCATTTCCAGACTCCGTGCTACTAGTGGGATTTTAAAAACCCAGTAATACTTTGCCCGACCCGGGAATCGAAACCGAGACCCCTTGCCCGGCAGTCGCACTTGCGACCACTCGGCCAATAAGGCAGTCGACGAGCTTCTTCTTAGTAGATAACAAAACCGCATTTAATAAACTACAGCAAAAATTGATTGTACCTTACGAGTGAGAAATTAATATTGACGCGAACAAAAATGGTATAAGTAAAAATATTTTAAAAGTCCTTACGAACCTCTTTTGAAAACAGTCAAGTTCCTCTTTGAGTGCTTCATACTTCCTCAGAGTGTGGACGAGGGCGTCGGAGCTGCCCTCCGGATTGCTCGTCTGTTGTAAGTGCTGTACCTCGCGCTCCAAGCTACAGATAAAAATATAAATACAATTATTTTATTGTATTTCATCTTCCAAGTATTTTAAAAATTGAACTGTTGCATTATAATACCGCTGGTTGTCATTAAGCAGGTCTCCGTACTTGCCGCGGAGGCTGCTGGCCTCCTGCGCAGACACCTCCAGCTGGTTCATAGCTGCTCTGTGTTGGCCGCGGAAGTACTCCAACTCCTGGACACACAGTAATCTTTGTACATGTTGAATATTAAACTCTGCTAAACTTAACTATACACAGATGAAAATATTGCTCCCATCCGAAGCATATTTTTATATCTGACTAGCTACCTCCGCGCGGTTTCACATGCTCTGCTCAGCTCCTATTGGTCGTAGCGTGATGTTTTATAGCCTATAGCCATCATCGATAAATGCGCTATCCAATACAAAAAGAATTATTCAAATCAGACTTGTAGTTACGGAGATTAGCGCGTTCAAACAAACAAACAAAAAAACAAACTCTTCCGCTTTATATAATAGTATAAGATAAGATTCAAACATAGATCTCTTGTTAAGATATTAGGAAAAGTGACCATACAAAAACAGGTCGCATTGACAATATCATCAAACACGCGGGTAACAGGTGAAGGAGCAATGCACGAAACCATAAAGTATTTAAAAAAATGAGGAAAGTCAAAAGAATCAATTGTAATTGATCTCGAGTTAAAACGATGAGGGAAGAAACAAGAGTTATTAAAATATAAGGCTTACTCAAATGAAATATATGAACAAAGCTCTACTAAGCCAGTAGAGCTATAATTTCAATAAATATTTCACGAGATAATATAAAAAAGAAACTGACCTTCATAACATGTTCGCAGCGGCGCGAGGTCTCGGTATGCTGGCGGCGCAGCTGATTAAGCTCATGAAGGGCTTTCTCGCATTGCTGCTTCAAGCTCTCATTGGTCTGTTTATTGATGACGTCATACTGCAGCGGCTCGTAAGGGCCGCTCATCACGTGCGCGCCGTGAGACTTCACCGTGTAGTTCTGTTTCTCGTAGCACTGGTTGGAGCTCAGCACCTCATACTCGATGGGGATAGGGATCGTCGGCAGCTGAGCTGCGTTGTGACGCTCCGTGCTCACGTAATTGTGGGATATTGATTCTGGAACAACAAATTACGTCACATTTCACAACTATAGACGAAATATTTGTTTCAATCGAACCAATTTTGTAACCAACAGTGAAGTCATAAATGGAAATAATTTAATAATTTCGACATATTATAGGGAGAACTAAGGAAAACAACACCTTATGAAGAAATCACCTGATTGTATTTGTTATAATATGAATTGAAGTAGAAATTCTTGATTAATGACCAACAACAAGGAAGAAAAATAATGTTATTCCATTCATAGGTAAATAGTTTCAGCATGAGAAATCAACTAGTGTAGGTAAATGTTTTGATATAGTCTTTCAATAAACATTATTATTCTTCAGTACCCATTCATAAAAAACTTATTATAAGTACAGAAGATATTATGATTTATTCATCATCATCAATCAGTCACAGGACGTCCACAGCTGAACATAGGCCACCCCCAATGACTTCCACATAGGTCGGTTGGAAGCAAGCAGCGATTTATTCAATCAAAAGATGTTAAACATATTTACTTATTATTATTATTTATTACATAAGGCTATTTATTGTACTAAGCTCGTATCTGTCAGTTATCTAATCTTATAGAATTTGAGGGTCTGTCCTAATCACTAACCTTAAGATAGGTAACTATGGCCACATAAACACATTTATCTATCAAGAAAAAGGAAGATTCTGGCTATCTTGTTGCTCAAGTGGGTCGTAAGCGCGACTATTGAGCAAGATTGATTTCCGGGTGGGGTAACAGTACCTATTATTGGTATGTCCAGCCCTTAATAGTGGACTGTATAGTTTTTAATATGTATACTACTGCTTTCAGGAAATGAATTTAGCATACCTACACCATAATGTTTTATGATAAGTGTGAGAGACCCATGCTTCGGCATGAATGGGCCGTTTCGACCGGAGTGATACCACGGCCTCACAGAAGACCGACGTGAAACAACGTTGTGTTGTGTTTTGTTGAGTGAGGTTACCGGAGGCCTAATTACCCCGCCCCCCCCCTTTCCCCGATATCTATTCACTTCATTAATAAAATAAGTAGGCTATACTAACCATTACTGCCATTACTCTCTAGAGATGAAGTCCCAGATGCCATAATATGTCTGAAATAAAAAAAAAACAATTATACTTAATTGAATGGTAGACATTCTAGAATTTCTAATTTCTATTTTGAATCTGGTTTGAGTGTACTAAAATAAAGATACAGAATAAAGAGATATTTGGTAGTGTTTTAAAAATTATGATTAGCTAGTGTTATACTTGATAGGTTGATATTTGACCACCATCTCGTCTGGTAGTACGCAATGATGTGACCAACGATGGAACACGCCTACCTATAAGCAACCTGTTCACTCGGGACTTAGACACTCAAGTTATATTTGTTGGGAAACACAGATTCCGGCGAGGAATTCCATTCCTTGTTATTGTGTGTACTGTTATACATCGTAATATCAAGCAAGAAAACATGTCACAATTAAGCACATGTCACTTGGTAGCGTGTGTATATGAATGTTGCTCAAAATCAGAATGCTCATTTCAGGCATAATGTATATCGACAGGTGTAAAATTTTTGAACATTTTTAAACATGCTTACCATCAGGTGGGCAGTGGTATAAAAAAAAATGGTCAATAGCCTTTTAGTGTACTATTTTAGAGCATGCGTAATTGTATCATTATTTTCATAATATTGAATTAGATTCGTAAAATTTCACCTAATGAAATATCAAATAATAATTTTTGTTTATTTTAAACATTATAATGTTAATACAATGTATCAAGAATCATACTAGGTACATTCTTAAAGAAATAATAAATAATCTCTGATATTATTATGCTGATGGTTGATAAGTAGTAAAAAACTGTTTGTGTATTAGTATGTAGTGAAACTTCCAAATAAAATTTTATATATCTTATAAGAAAATTGGAATTGAACAAATTCTTTGCAATAGGTTTGTAGCACGAAACGCAATAATCTTTCTTTAGACTATATAACTATTGCATACAAGTATGTATAGATTGCAGTCTTCTGAGATACATCTATGTGCAGTTTATCTACTTGCTGTCTACATAGACATACATTGTGGAGAAATAATGAATTTGTATTGACATAATTAAAATTCAGATTAGAATTTCTTTAATTAGGTCATTGAATAGTCTTACATTATTCAAGTTGAAACCATTGGACTTTCACCTGTAACAGGCACTGTACTATAAGAAATGCACTCAACTGAGGTAAATATAGTTTAGTTATTAAATAATAACATTTACTATGAGAATATCATGAATGAATGCACACACATAAGAGGAAATCAATTGTTGATTTAAACAAAAGCATAATAGTCCATTTTCTATTTAAATACACTATTACCCTGCCATTAATTTCCTGCTTTGTTATACATAAACCTAACCATTGACAACCAGTATATTTTTATTATACTGTGACATTCACTAGGCCTTATTGATAATCATTGTTATTGTTCCTTGGCACTCAATACAATAAGAATCCAGTAAAAACAACTGCTATTACCTTATTGATTAGAATTTTACATCCATTGTTCCACTTCGGCGCTATACATTGGGCCCTGTTGAAATATAACAAGTTAGGTACACCAAAATAGCATGATTACAGGTAAACAGATAAAAGCAGAATTGTCTAGTGTTCGAGATTACTGTAAAATTAGAATATTTACTGGGGTCAATCCACTTGACATATTTTCTACGCTCTAATGACTATTACAAAACTGCACCGCGAAGCGGGGACTGTTGCGATTGCATACGACAACCGAACAACGAAACATGAAACACCTTCACACCACACAATTATCGACTAACAGTACACAGACACGGTCTATCAACGTCGCCGCACACCCAAATCACTTATCAAACACAGCAAGCAACAAAAAACTCTCCTTTCGCTATGAATATGGTTTTCACGACTATAGAACTGTCTACGAACTTATTTCACAATGTAAACATATTGAGTATTACCAAAGCGGCTCATAATCGACAATGTGCGACACGATTCACAAATATTTATGTAAAACAAAAGCAATAATAACTTGAACAAGAAAGATAACACGTATTATCGTCAATAATTTGCCAACATTTCTCGTTTCTATACCTTTTTTAGCAAGGCAAATGAATGAATGAATGACGGACGTCGGACATATTGAACCAGTGTCACCAGGAAAAATCGGATAGTTATCTAAGAGTATTAGAAACTTTTAATGGAAAGATAAATAATGATGGAAATTTCAGAAGAAAATTTCCTACAACATACTTTCTAAAGTATAAAAAATAGTTGTCAACGAAATATTACTGTAATCTAAAATGGAACAGAATTATTAACAATAAAAGGTGTGTTATAAAATAAAAGAACTCACTGTGACTGTATCCGAATCTAAAATTTACTGTCAAAATGATAATATTTTCTGTCAAAGTCCACGTTCCAGGAACGTAATAAAATGTTCCATAATTTTAATCATAAAAATGATGAAACAAAATCAGTCAGTGATAAAATCGATAATAATAAATAATGTAAAAAAAAATAGAAATGTATTATGTTAAGGTGTTTGAGACAAGTGCGATTAATACTAATGTTATTGCATAAAACTTTCGTAATGTAATCGACTCATTAACTTATAAAAAAAATTGTACTAAAGTAAGTTTTATTTAGATTAGGTATTTTGTCGTTTTCTTGTAGCTTTAATTGATGTAATATCTTTAACTCAGTAAAATCTTCTGTAAAGTAAGGTCATAGATTGCGTGTTTTTATTTAAAGCGCGCGAAGTGTTCAATGTATTACAATCGTCTATCTTTTGCATTAAAGTCTCCTCATCACAATCGATGCTACAGCTCGAGAATCGTAGACTACGATTGGCTAATAAGAAAATAGCACAGATAATCTATTAGACGAAATACAACGTGCTTCATACCGTAGCAGAATACTACGTTGTGATTGGTCAACGGTTAGCGACAAACATATAAAGATAACGCGCCGTATACATAGTTAGATGGGAGTACTATTTCGTCGTACAAATAAATGACACGCAATAGTGAAGAACCAATAAAAAACGAGGCGCAAATACGTGTTTTTTTATAAATTAAGTGGTCAAACACAAAAACATTTCCTCGTACATCATTTGTAACGGTTTGCAAAACAGTCGTGTGTCGTAGCAGTGTGTGATAACGTGAAAATCGAATGTTTTGATGTCGCGAGGCATGACCACGGCATGACTTCCATGCCCTGCGTACCTACGGAAGGGCGTGCGGTGCGAATTACGTTTACTATGAATGATTTTATCTCTTTCTAAACTCGAGTGTCTGTGAATGACCGAGTGTAACAGCGAGCGTACCAAATTATGGATTGAAATAGTGTTTGTTGTTGATGTATTATGATTATTTCGCAAAGATAAGATTTTTAACATTAGTGTTATCGTGTTAGTGAGGAATCGCCGCAGTTTTGCCCACGGAATAAATTCTTATGGTACTACGTCGGATTCGTTACGCCGTTCGATTTATCATAACGAGGTACTATTTACGCACTATATGGTGATTATTTTAAGTATTTTTAGTCGTGGCGCGTGTCCGCCGACGGTGTTTTACTATTCGTCGTTTATTAGGGTGACTTTCATCATTGGTGTAAACAACTTCAAGGTTATCGGTTGGCATGTGCCAGAGTCGTTAGGTGCGGGACTGGGATGCAGGAGTGATGTCGGCGGCGGGAGGCGGGGGCGCGGGCGCCGTGGTGCGCCAAGGGCAACTGCGGAAGCTGAAGACGATGAAAAAGAAGTACTTCGTGCTGCGCGCGGAGACCCCGGAATGTTCTGCCAGGCTGGAGTACTATGAGTCGGAGAAGAAGTTCCGCGCGGGAGTGGCGCCGCGCAGAGTGCTGCCGCTCAAGAGCTGCTACAACATCATGCGGCGGCTGGACCTCAAGCAGAAGCATGTGATCGCACTGTTCACGCGAGAGGAGCAGTTCTGTGTCGTGGCGGACAATGAGCAGGACCTGCATGCCTGGCTGACTGCCATCCTGAAGCAGCACCGCAGTGATGACGCCAGTGACGAGCTGCTTCATCCCATACGTAAGTGTTCCCACTTAAATTATTGAATTTTCTTATAATGTTTACTAAAACATGAGTACATGCTGGAATGTTTAAGGTTATGTAGGTAACAATGTCATGTTCAAGTGTAAACTTCTGAGCATTCACTATGTAAACCATGTTAATATTTTGGTCAATGGGTCGTCTTTGGTTTATTGTCTTTTAGACAAACCTTATTTAATATTTAAAATATTCCAAACTTTGAAAGGAAAACAAAACTGCTCTCAAGTTGTTTGATAAAACTGTATTGAAGTGTTTTTATTTACTAAAGTTTTCATTCCAACTTAATATCACAGACTAACTAAAAACTTAATTGATGTTTACTCTATTAAATCATTAAGTTAATACAAAAACTTGATAATTCACTCTCAGTTTGCTCAAAGTCATTCTCATCATTAAAATACTTTACTACCTATTTTGTATGAATGACAGTCAAAGATTTCACGAGACTCATTATTTTAATTGAAAAAATGTCTGAAACACTGTTAAAAGTATGCATTTAATTTGTAGAATTCATTATTTAGGATTAGTTTAGTAGGTATACATTACATTATTGTTATTAATGTGTGATAAATGCATATAAGAAAGAGACTAATAAGAATGTTTAAACGGAAATATTTATTTGTAAGAGTTTGGTACATATATGAAGCTGTAAATACCCATGTTTACAAAACTCTTAGGAAACGGTGCACTATTATGTCATTACTTAATTTTCAATATCACCTTTCTTTTTAAACCATACTTAACTAATATTTTTTCTTATAACATTCTTACTAGTATTTTGAATTTTGTGATTTTATTATAATCATTTTCCAATTGGTAGGTAATTTAAGGTATACCTATACCTTATAAGCCTAGCATGTCCTCTGTTACAAAAGTTATGTAGTTTGTTTAACTTTGAACAACTTTGAAATCAATCAAAATATATAAAGATATTATATTTATTTGCATTACCATGAGTGAGATTGTAGTGCATAAGAAATATACACAATTACACAGCTACATGTTTACCATCAAATAGGTAAGAGAATTACCTAATGCTTGATTGTTATTAATTCATGATTTTGCAGTTAGTAGCTAGGTTTATATGTGACGTATATAACATAACATCATGCCTTTTTATCCCCGAAGGGGTTGGCAGAGGCGCACATTTCGCACATAATGCCACTGTACAATGTAACACACACTTTTCACTATTTATGTTATGAGTCCCATGTAATAGGGGGTGAGCCTATTGCCATATACCGGGCACATTTCCATACTTCGTTCTACTACTGAGATTTTTAAAAACCCAGTAATACTTTGCCCGACCCGGGAATCGAACCTGAGACTCCTAGCCCGGCAGTCGCACTTGGGACCACTCGGCCAACGAGGCAGGTTTACATATTTCTTCTATAATTACTGTGTAAGACCTACATCTGGAGAGCACTGAATGAATATTATTACTTTTTACCTAAGTATAAAGTATATTGAATATTTTAAGCTTAGTATTTTTCATATATTATATTTATTTTCTTAAATATCCAGGACTGGAACTAAACACTAGCTTCTTTTTGTGTAGCTATCTAGTATGTTTGTAATTTATCACATTCAGAATGCTGTTATTTACCTATTTATTCTACACTGTGGTTATATGTATAAAAGCGAAATTAAAACTAAAAGAACCGCGATGTGAATAACCGAACTGCGTAGGAAACGTAATTCGCAGTTTATTGCGTCTTAACGGAAAGCAATGTACTTGAGAGGAGTCCGAGGAGTCGCGAGCGTTCGCCAGCTAGACTATAAACAAACATTAAAGTAAAATTCTAATAACTTACTTCGCATATACAGACAATAATAAGCGACTGCGAACATGCCATAAAAAAGTTAAAGCACCGTCATGTACTATGGAAATTTAGGCGCGTACGTAAGAGCCGGTGTCATTGACCCTCAGTAATATTGTGATGCTGTGGGTAAACATACGAATACAATCATTAATCTTAATACGAGTTGGTCGTCGGAAGCGAGTGACGGCCCTTTTCACACGTTATGATTGTAGGGTTGTATGGGTCAGCGCCAGAACGCTTGTTTTGATTTTTTGTATCGGCTTTTCTAGTGGATTGTTTCAGTTTTAGTGTTCGAGGTTACAGAAAAATGCTGATATCATTATCATAGTGTCATGATTACTCATTAGTTGCTTTACGTTCACGTTACGGGGATTTTTTTATTTGTATTTTTCACATTACATTGACGCGGTCGGCAGGCGTGTTTATTTTAAGGTTTTTGCACTTGTGACGTCGTCGCCGGTGTAGCCTCAGGGCTCTACAGTTCACGGTTACTCGCTCGTATGATGAACTAATCAATCAACTCATCCTACCGTAGTGCACGGGTCACTCGGACATCGCCCCAAAACTCGAGTTTTAATCGTTAACTTTAGTTAGTAAGTAATGATGAATAGCTAAAGCTAACTTGGTTGACATAGTATGGACTAACCGTTTTATTCATGAACGGTTTACATTCCCATAATTGGTAACTAGGACGTTTTGGGGTATTCTTTCATCTTGTGGGTATTAAAAACGAGTTTAAATGAAGACAAGAATTAATAGCTCAAACACCTAGATAATTATTTATGAAATAGTTAAAACTTAAAGTTTTAGGCGATGAAATGAAGAAACTTAGCATCACTGTGACGCGTAATCGGTGCAGTTCCTAATCCTAATATGCATATGCAGCACTAAACTGGTGGTTTGTCCTTGAAAACTAAATTTTTAATTAGTTACCTTAGTGAAATCAGTTCTTTAGTTCATTGAACTGGGTTTTTCCAAGCTGCAATTGTTATACTTATAACATAAGAAAAACCCAGCTGTTCGAAACCCGAGTACGTGGCGCAAGTCGTTTCGATGTAAACACCATGAGATCATAGTCTAGCTCTTTCATATTAAAGCACCTGTATGACCGTCTCATATAGATTAATGTGTTAGCCCGGTAAAATGTTCTTCGGTGATTGCTCTCGTTATGAAAGAAAAAGGCCACAACCTTTTTAGGAAAGCAGAAGGCTAACGATTAGTTGCCATTTGGACATTTAGATTAAGACGTAGAAACGACTATAACTACTAACTCAAATATTGCAGTTGAAACTTCAACAATCAAAGAAAGTTTTAGATTCAGCATAGAATCGAAGTCAAGTGCTTCACGATGACGCTCATACCTTTATTATCTAATCCCCTACCTCCCCCTGAAAGAGAATCCTATCATTTTCTTTCTAACTTAAAGTCAAAAGCCTATGCCAGAACTATGTACCTTTCGTATCGTTCGTCATTTGATTGTTCTCGTTATTGCGCAGCAGTGTGAACCGAGGCAGCTTTTCTAACACGGAGCAGTACTTCCAAACTAAACCTATTGGTTAAGGTGGACGTAAATCTAAACTTAAACATTTACTGGCTTTCTTTACACTATATCAGTTCATAGTCGATTGCGATATTTTAGAGAGCCTTAATTCATCAGATTTTGACGCCTTGGTCAGTTATTGCGCATCACTCTGCAGCGTACCAATAAATGTTTTCCTACTTCCGGTGACTAACTAGCCGTGCCTAGGCTAGGAGAGCTATGGTTAACTATTATAGAGCATATCCAAGGACAGTATTTTAATTTGTAAGAAACACGCACGCTCGGACTGTTGTCTACTCATAGGTCAAACAGTGATCTCATATTTGTTTGCTAACTAACTAATTTGAGTGTTTACTAGTGCAATGATTAATTATATTGTTTATTGTGATGTCCGTAAACGATTGTGTTTACTGATCGTGGCACGTGAACTGCAAACATGGCAACGTGTAGTACATTTGCTGTATCAATTGAAGCTGTCTACGTCATGTTTTCTTCTGAATATTGTTGTTATTCAGATTGAGAGAAAAATGGATTTAGCTTAATGTCCTACTCTGACGTATTAGCTGTCGATGTATCAAGTTTAACCCCGCACCAAGGTCTCGATCAAGGCCTGGCATTAGCCTATCGTTATGTGTGTGTGTAGAAGTTCAAAAATATCGCAATATCAGCAAAAATAGCTATTGTACTGTTGTTCATTCAGTTTAGTAAACAATTTATTGTTTTGTAGTTCAGTACGAGGTTCCACAACTACGTAAGTAATACGCAACGCATCCGATGACCTTTCCTTTGAATTGATGCGCACTAAGCAAAACATTAAACTGTTTTCGGTAGGTATACGTGTTTAGGAGTTTAGAAAAGAAGCGAGGATTGATCGTATAGGATATAAGTATGGTTTACGACATTATTAAGTGGTTTAGTAGGTAACTATAAAAGCTGTAGCCGAAGTTCTGTGATTGATTGTCCGGTTTGACAAAGCCAAATGTCACTGTCAAGGAAGCAATGTGGCTAAAATCGCCGAATAGGGCAACTTCTAATAAAATAAGAGCGTCGTCATCTAAAGAAAGAAACCAGACTAGAAGTTCAGGGCAATGTCTAAACCATAAAAGTTAATACCATGAGCTAAAATTTGAAGGTAATATTCATGTTATATTTGTTTTTACACCGTTTATAAGTTGATATGATGATAATGAACTACAATAACAAATAATTTCCTTCAACAGTTTGTGCACAAGGACAATCAGCTGATACATTTATCTTATCATACGTTACTGAATGTTACGCTCTTGATTCTAAAGGGTAAGCAGAGATATAGATGTAACAAACATATGATTCACTTTCGCAGAACCTTAATTTTTGTTACTGACTAAACACGGATCCTTATTTTAGTCATAAATAATAACTAGGTACCATCGGGAAATCATAACATCGTGATTAGAACGAAATGAAGCTAACAGATTAATAAAAAAACAATGATCAATATTTGGTCATTATCTTCTAATTTTAGATTTAAACAATTAATTAGTGTTTGTTTAATCTATTTGTTTAAACTTCTCAATTCTTTCATCGCCGTCAAGGCACAGTGAACACTGACGTAACATCAAGTAAACTTGCGTCATTACAACTGTTTATTTGAGAATCCCCCTCTTGTTGTATGTACCGTAACCGTTCTTTTTTAACTTAACGCGTCAAAATCAAGACAAACAACCATCAATAATATCATCTCGAAAATAATGATTTGTTAAACAATGCCATCTATCGGTGTACATAGTGAAACTTTCGAAATTATCGGCTATCGTATTTTTGCTTTTATCGCAGTTCTTCTAGTTACTGAGATAATGATAGGTTGTAGCCCTTAGGTAATATATTTTGATTTTCCTGAATGCTTTCTGTGGATTTAAAACTATAATTGAATCTATATATATAAAATTCAAAGGTGATTGACTGACTGACTGACTGACATAGTGATCTATCAACGCACAGCCCAAACCGCTGGACAGATTGGGCTAAAATTTGGAATACAGATAGATGTTATGACGTAGGCATCCGCTAAGAAAGGATTTTGATAATTTCCACCCCCAAGGGGGTAAAAAAGGGGATGAAAGTTTGTATGAAACTTTGTCAGTTTTTAACTGATCGTGTTGAAATTTGGCATGCAGATAGATGTTATGACGTAAGCATCCACTTTGAAAGGATTTTGATAATTTCCACCCCCAAGGGGGTAAAATAGGGGATGAAAGTTTGTATGAGACTTTGTCAGTTTTATACCGATCGGGTTGAAATTTGGCATGCAGATAGATGTTATCTCATAGGCATCCGCTAAGAAAGGATTTTGATCATTTCCACCCCTAAGGGGGTAAAATAGGGGGTGAAAGTGTATATGAAGCTTTGTCAGTTTTACACCGATGCAGATGAAATTCGGCATGCAGGTAGGTGTTATGACGAAGGCATCCCCAAGTAAGGATTTTGATTATTTCCACCTCCAATGGGGTAATGTAGGGGATGAACGTTTATATGAAGCTTTGTCAGTTTTACACCGATCGGGTTGAAATTCGGCGTGCAGATGGATACTATGACATAAACGTCCCTTTAGAAAGGTTTTTGAACATTCTCACCCCAAAGTGGGTAAAATAGGGGGTGCAAGTTTGTATGATACTTTGCCAGTTTTAAATTGATCGGCTTTGCATGCATAAAGTTGCTATGACATAGGTATCTCCTTAGAAAGGATTTTGATAAATTCCACCCCTAAGGGGATAAAATAGGGAATGAGAGTTTGTATATTTATATCATTGAATCTTTTTGAATTACATTTGGTAAAACGATGATTTGGGACCTGGGTAACGTATGATAGTTTATTCACAGATGTCTCACGAGAACGGGAACTATGCGTCATTGCCCCAGGACTCTCTAACTCTTAACCACTGAACTTATTCTAGAGAGATTCGGTACAACAATAGTCGATAGAATAGTTTTTATTACTCAAACCTTACGTGATCGGGCACTGTACTTGAAAGATCCCTGCGGGATTATTTATTTATTGAAACTACGATAAATCATTTCAAAATAGGTAAATCTTACCTGGGCACTGAATTGATTCTGGTTAATTCTGTCAGAGGTCATTAATCTACGCGGACGAAGTCGCGGGCAACAGCTAGTATTGTATGAAATACACAAGTAGTTTTTTGTACCAGATTATTAACATTAACATGATATAAAATGTTTTACATAATATAAAACTTTTACGTATTTCACATGATAATACTAAATACAAATTCCATCCAAATAAGTGAATCTTATAACACTAATTACCTAGCTTTTAAAAGAATTCTTATTTATCTAGTTACTTAAAATATTCTTTGCTTCTGTGTAGGAAAAATAAGATAACAACATCACGCCTTTTATCCCCGAAGGGGTAGGCAGAGGTGTACATTATGCCACTGTACAATGTAACACCCACTTTTCACTATTTATGTTATGCGTCCCATGTAAAAGGGGGTGAGCCTATTGCCATATACCGGGCACAATTCCAGACTCCGTGCTACTACTGAGAATTTATAAAAACCCAGTAGTAGTTTGCCCGACCTGGGAATCGAACCCGAGACGCCTTGACCGGCAGTCGCACTTGCAACCACTCGGCCAACGAGGCAGTCTCTTAAAGAAATTAGTAAATCATAAAGAGGTAACAAATACACCTAATCTATATATATAAAATAAAGTCGTGTTAGTTACACCACTTATAACTCAAGAACGGCAGAATAGATTTGGCTGAAAATGGGTAGGAAGGTAGCTTAGAGCCAGGAGACCGACATAGGATACTTTATAACCAAAAATATTTTTTTTTTTACTTTTTTCCGAAAATCACGAACGGGGACGGGAAAAAATGGGATGGTACGCGTACGAAGTCGCGGGCAGAAGCTAGTTGTTAATATAGGTAAAGTTATCTAGTTGGATTAATTAATTGTTTTGCAATATTTCCTCTGAACTATCTATCAATTGCTTTATCGCAACTTAGTCACAAACACGCTCTATGAAAACCGCGATGATCTATAAATTATATCTTATAGGTCATTAGGTCATAGCCGGACGCTAATGACCTAGGCATTGTATTGTACAGTCGCCAGTAAATCAAGCTACTCCAAATCTGTCAAATATATTAATTAGATTTTCGACTTTATGTCGATACAATAAAGTTGAAGATGAAATTGAGAAATTGGCAACTGGACATAAATAAGACCGATTGGGAATATTCTGTCAAAGCCTTTATTGTATGAATAATTAAGAAGTTTAGTTTATTTTCAAGTGTGGAAGAGCTATGTTTCGGCACGAATGGGCCGGCTCGACCGGAGTAATACCACAGCTTCACCAACCGACGTGAATTAACACGACAAAACACAGCGTTGTGTTTTGTCGTGTGAGTGATGTTACCGGAGGCCCAATTACCTCCTCTCTCCTCAATCCCCAAATGCCCAATAAACCTCAAATTCATAATTCCAAAAAGGCCGGTAACGCACCTGTAACCCCTCTGGTGTTTAAAGTGTCCATGCCTCCATGGGCGGCGCCGATAGCTTAGGTAGCTAGGTGATCTGTCCGCTCGTTTACCGGCTTATCCCATAAAAAATCGTTATACGGAAACTAGATTCTAAGCAAGATTCTAGTGTTTCTGACTAATAGCTAATTATAATTTAGTTAACAATGTAGGTATCATGTCAGTGCTACACTTGTGAATTTTTGTTTCAGTTTTACATAATCATTTTAATTAGCGTAATGGTTAATAAAATGTTTAGTTAAATTGTATGCATTTATATTCTTATCTTTATACGTAATAATTTGACTAAAATTAATTCGAGGAGCTTAAACATTTTGTGAGACTATCTTCGAATTTGAAATGATTTGGGAATCGGGAGGTTTTTATATTGCTGGAGGCTTCTGATAAAAAATAAAGTATTGAAATAATATAACTTTGTGTCATATACATATATAATCTATTAATACAATGGTAGGCGACATCCTAAGTAAACAAAGACTGTAACAGGAAAAAAAATACCCATATACCTAATAAATATAATTTCATATTTAGAAACTCAGTGTTTTCCCAGGTTTGTTGTTTTTCCCTAATAATGCAGTTGTTTGCGAGTAAATATGGGTAATTATTGTTTCTACTAGACCGGTGTTTTGAGCTCCTAATTAGATTAGATTCATTAAAAATGAATTAGGTATATGTGACTTCATTTAAAATTGCAAATTCAACCAACCAACTAATACCATTGACGTTAATTAATTATGCATTAATTAAATAATTTAAAGTGTGGGAGAGCCATGCTTCGGCACGAATGGGCCGGCTCGACCGGAGTGATACCACGGCCTCACAGAAAACCGACGTGAAATAACACTTGCGTTGTGTTGCGTCGTGTGAGCGACGTTACCGGAGGCCCAATTACCCCCTCCCTAATCTCCCAAATGCCCGAATCCCCCACAATCCTCAAATGCCCAATTCCCAAAAGGCCGGTAACGCACTTGTAAGGCCTCTGGTGTTTTAAGTGTCCATGGGCGGTGCCGATTGCTTACCATCAGGTGATCTGTCTGCTCGTTTATCGGCTTATCTCATAAAAAATACCTATAGCATAAATTCATAGACTTTAGGTGGTTTCTAAGTAAACTAATTCGAAAGTATCTAAAATGTGTTTCTTCTCATCTTTAAAACCTACCTTCAAAATGTATTATTATTATAGCTTCTATTATTGTTTCCAGAGCATGTGTGGCAAGTAAACGTCCAGAAGAAAGGCCTGGGTGCGACGAAGAACATCCAGGGTCTGTACAACCTGTGCCTCACGGACAAGACCCTCACCCTGGTGAAGATCAAGAGTCACAATAACGTGATCAGCGATCTTGGTCTACTGGAGCGGGTTGAATACTCCTTGAAGAATATTCGGAGGTATGCGAACTTTTTTAAGTTCTTTGTATATTTTTTTGTCTGTTGTTTTTTGGATATATGTAGTATTGCGCCTGCCGAATTACCAAATCTTACTGTTCTAAACTAAAATTCCATAATGCACTTGGTGACTCCTCTGGTGTTACTGGGATGAGCAGCACAACCAACTTCTACTGGGTGATATGTCTGATCAGTGGCGTATATCCTAATTATAGTATATTTTTTATAAACTACGTTTAAAAAAACTGACTTCAACCCCACTCTGTTTTTTAAAGCCTGTTAATTAACTCGTCGAGTACCGGTTTTACAGACACAATTAAAGAACAATAGGTCGCGGTCACCGGTGACCGCTTGGTATTTGACAGTTTAATACTACTACAACCTTCTCCTAAAAGTAACAAACACTTTTTTGAAAACCGCATCAAAATCGGTTCAGCCAATTGCGAGATAATCCTGCACAAACACACAGACATAAGTACATACGGATCAAATTGACAACCTCCTTTTTATTTTCTTTTTGAAGTCTGTTAAAAACTATCTTTTAGTTAAAAGGAGACTTGAAAATGTATTTCTTAAAAAGTCTAGTTGGAGTCAGGCATAATTTCTGTACTTACATTATTAAGAAACAAACGCGATGACTAAGAAGTATTTATTAGGTTCTCAACTCTTTAGATACCGTTTGTTAAAAAAGAACAATAGTTTGTATGTGTTATCGATGTAAAACGATCAGTGCGCCCCCTATGTATGAACTACATGGAATATGGGGGATCGTGTAGATGTTGCACTTTGGCTATAAGGGGAAAAACATGATATAAGTAACTACTGATTATGTCAGCAGCTACAAAAAGATCTGTCTATGGTTTTAAAAATTACCAATAGGCATTTCATGTCATCTGGACATCTGTTTATAAAGAAAAAATCTTAAGGTTATCCACCTCGAACTTGTTATTTGGATCTTACGTATTATATTCTAAGAAATCCTTTTGACTTTTAAAACATATCTTTTGTATTTTCCATCGTCAAAGCATTTGCAAAGAAAAACAATGAACTAACCACCGGCAATATTTCCCTTTCCTGATCACAACCTTAATACTTAATTAGTATGTTTGGGTACGTTATTATTACAATTATTATGAACGTGGTTGAAAATACCCAAATATTATTATAAATGATATTATCTAACAATGAATAACTATTCCGAGAATCGGTGTTACGATTATTTTTATAACATAACCAATGCGGTTGTCGTAATCTTCTAGGGGAAATACCAGAAGTTGTGGTTTCAGTATGTGCATTATCACGGATACTTTTGCGGTTCTCCTTATTGGTGAAACGCCAATGGAGCTTTGAAAGTGAATTGTGCAAATTATTGACCTTAGAATGGGTAAATTTTTGTATTGATTTCCACACAATAGCAAAAAATTGTTAATTAGAGGTTTTCAAGAGTGTCCATGCACAGCATATTGTCTACAGTACAGTCTAGGCGTCACACACACAGTAGGACACACCGGGCGTCGGGGATCGCGGGACGATCTCCGGCCACCGTAAGCGCGGGCCTGCGGACGGCGAGCATGGGTGGCTCCCCGTCCGACCAGAAACAGACCCGAGCGTACGGCGCGTCGCGTTCCGCACGCGCCTCAAAGAGCCATCAGACCACCACAGATGGGGCCCAATAGGGCCGATGCCGATTCGGAGTCGCGGAGAACCTAACGGGTAACCGGGGCTCCGGCTCGACGTGCAGGAGAAGGAACGGGGTGGTTTTTAGTCAGTAAGAGTCTGACACTCCCTTCCGCCTCACCCAGGCGGGAGCAGACATTCGATGATTTTCCCCCCTTAAAAAAAAAAGGCGTCTATCCAGCCAGACAGATATAAGTTAAAGTTCAGTTAACTATAATGGTATATACTGCTTAGTTCTATTTTTTCTTTTTATTCGCTAAGCAATCAATTCAATGCAGGATAATGAAATGATCCCCTAAGAACTTTTACCACCTGCATTACATTACATGCATTACGTACTATCTTACCCGCCTCTGAAGTTACTTTATAAGAGAAAAACAAAGATTATGTATGTATTAGTCTTTTTTTGTTTTTTTTTTTATGGGACAAGCCCGCCACAACCTCCCATGTATTAGTCTTATCGTTATAAGAGCCGTCGTGTGTAGCCGGCCATTCATGGAAAAGCATGGCTCTCCCTCATTTAATGGTCACTTGTCATGGCATTTCCAAACATTCGATCAACCAGATAATTATGAATAAAAAGGGGAAATCATAGTTTACCACCATTTTACCTTGTACCAAATAAGGTAATATGAATTAACAACTATTTATAGGTGCGGTAATCCAGTAACCTACCGCTGCAGAAATGAACAAACGATTAATTAAATGATTATTGTTTATGCATAATAATTACCGCGATAGCTAACGCCGATAGTTCAGCAGTTAGTTACGGGTGATCGAACGAATCTCGTCGATAAAATCAATGTAAACTATGATGTAACTGCCATATGTTATATCAATTTACCTTTCTACCATTACGTAGGGGTCGATTAACTTAAACATAGTTAGTTTAAACTTGAAGAGGTCCTTATTTCGTTAGTAATTAGGTCCTCTTTTCTGCTGGAAGATTCAAAATATCATAACAAGTTATCCTCACCTAGAAAGAAGATGTTTCTACAAACTTTAGCTAAATAATAATGTTGACTTTTCCCCGTCTCAGTTGTGGGTCAGTGAGTCAGATTCGGTTGAATGCAGATAGGCATTTTAAATGGAATACTTAATTATTATTTAGCCTTGATAACTCACTAGAAAGGCGTAAATGTCATTATAATAATAGGCATCGATGGCAATAGGTTCGATATTCTGTTATAACTGGTATTTTTCTTTTTTTTGAGATAAACCGGTAAATGAGCAAATGGATCACCTAATGGCAAGCAATCTACGCCGCCCATGGACACTCAATAGCCACACCAGAGGTGTTACAAGTGTGTTCTGGGCTTTTGGGGATTAGGAATTTGAGGATTGTTCGGAGTTCAAACATTGAGGAGATTGCGGGGGTTTATTAACTCACTCACACAACGAAGCATAACGCAAGCGTTGTTTCACTTTGGTTTTCTGTGAGGTCGTGGTATCACTCCGGTCGAGCCGGCCCGTTCGTGCCAAAGCATGGCTCTCCCACACTTAACACTCTTGGTCTGAGATAACCAGACTGAGAGTAATCGTAGCTAGGGGGCATATAGTAAGTACGTGTGTCCGTAACTTCCCGTTTATAGATTTACCTAAACAATAAACCGAAACCTGACGTCATAAAACAACAAACAAACAAATTATTAATAGTAACTATTAAAATTCATATAAGGTTTATATTTCTCACAGAATGATGATTAATTGTTTTCGAATCCTTGTTTTATTTGTGTTGCCGATGACGTCTTTGTTCTCAGAACTGCAATCGCGCGGTCTCCTATGAATGTATTCATTTTCTCACAAGGTTTACCTGCGTAAATAAAGTGTTATGATGACGTACGTACCTAAATAGGTATGGGTGTATGAATCCTTGATTGTTTGTGTTTTGTTTTTTGGTAGTATAGGAAAATTTCCAAATTTTAAATGTAATGGCTGAATGGCATTCTAGAAAATTAGGTTTAATTACTGTATTTATGTTACTCGTTAAAAAGACTTTATTAAAAGAAAAATATTCTGAATGTTCCAGATGTGGCGATTCCGAGCGTTTCTTCTACATGGAGGTGGGGCGGCAGACGACGACCGGTGCGGGAGAGCTCTGGATGCACACTGATGACTCAAACATCGCGCAGAGCATGCACTCCACTATATACCAGTATGAAATCTACAGATATTTAGACAAATGTATTGTACAGTACAATAATTGTAAACGTATACTGGGGTTCTAATACAGTTCAATCCTTCATGGAACCTTAACAGCAAAAACTAAATTGAAACCTTGATAAATTATGAGGATGCCTTGAAGAAAATACCCTTATTTAGAATGAGAAGCTAAAATTGATACCTTTTTCAGTAGGTTCCTCTTTTGTCTCCTTATCTTCTTTGTGTTAAGTAACTACTAAAGCCAAAATAGCTCCTGATGTTGAAAATGAAATTGAAAATATTTATTTGTAAACATAGGTACAATGGGATGTTACATTTCATGGTATGATATTGACCGTCTATGTTTTGTGATATGTCACATACAAATTAGGTTAAAAATTTAGTTTAAGTAGTAACGACGTTACTATCATTAATAGGTATTAATTTCATTCGAATAAATGTTCCACCACACTACAATCCATCTTCCCATATTCCAGTGCAATGCGTGACTGTGCGAAAGAGACAGAAAATGAGCGCGACCACATCGTGTTGCCGAAGGGGCCCGGCGACAACACGTTGCCGGCCCGACGCCAATCATATTCCGACGGTAGGGGCCGGGCCGGTCTCACTAACGGTAAGTTACATGACAGGCACATCGACAATCGGGGAATCGTCTATGAAGCGAGATTTTGCCAATATTTCCTCATAAAAAAGGAAAAATATTGTGTCTATTTCATTTGGAAGGGTACCTACAGTGACTTTTAAATCTGTGATAGAATCATGTTTAAATATCGATTGATTATTTTAACCTTTCAGTATTCGGGCGATACGTTGATATATCGTAACGAAAATCTCCAAAAAATGTTCATACAAAAGTAGTCTTTGACCATCGGAAATAAGGTCTGTAATGGTATTAATGGAGAGCGGTCACCGATGACCGTTCGGGGATTGAGTAGTTAATGATAAAGTCCACTTACAAGATATTTTTACCATGATTTTATCAACTTTAAAAATCAATTTGCCCTTACCAAATGATTCTCGATGTACAATGATTCTCGCTCCATACACACTGGGTTTTATTATCTACACAACTCATGTAGTTAGATCACACTAGTTCGTATCATTACTGTACAAGGGCTATTTTCCTTTGACCAAACATAGTAGTTTAGTTACTTTTTGCTTGCATTCATGTCACCCGTAGAAGTTGATGCTTGTTTAGTTTAGAACTCTCGTAGCGTAGCAGTGACTAACATTTGTTCAACGTCAATAATTATGTCAATGTCAATAAAATGTTTCGTGTTAACATGAGCCCTTACATCTATAAAAGATACAGCAGTAGATCATCGAAATGTCAAATAGTCAAACATTGTGTGTTAAAATGTACTCAAAAACATCAATGTATGTAAAAAAAAGATGTAGGATTATTGGAATGGGATGTAAGGGCTAACTGGGCAGCGCTCCCTTGCAGAGAAGGGCCTGTGCGTGGGCTCGTGCATTAGGCAGTGCGTGTGCGCCAGCGCCACCTACTCCATCGACGAGCCGCCCCTCGCCCCGCCGCCGCACAACGGTACACACCCTGTATATACTGTACCACTCGTACTGGACCACTCTGTATACAGAATTTTCTGCTTTTGTAATGAAATTGAAAATTTAGAGCCCAAAAAGTCTATTAGTTTTATTTTTAGACTGATAAGTTGTTCTCAAAAATACTCATTAGGTTTTGGCAATATAAACTGGCAATCATCTAGACATTTCGGATTTTATAAAGGAAAGTAAAGTTTACCATTAACTTTGATATTGGTACTAGAATTTTCTGTATACGATGTTTTCCAGTAACAGAAGGAGAATGCTCCCTGACTCAGGACAGGTTGCGACGAGTCTGGACGTGTGCTGGTTTTGATTTACTGATAGTTGAATGACCCCTCTTTTATTTTAATGTGACCGTTTTCTTCCTCTCTATTGTAAAATGAACCTATTTCTCATAGTGACAAAGTTGATTTTGTAATGATTTCTTGGTTCACATGATTGTGAGTTCTGTGATTGTCCGGTTTTGTGCGACTAATACTTCTTTCTTTTTCTGATATAGTGTTATGAAACCTTCTTGATCGTTTTCATAATGATATATTATTTTATATTTCCAAAAAGTTTGTATATGTATTCCAAGTAGATTCTATCTTCAAACCAATTTTCTTATGTGTTGCCTCTTTGTGTTTTCCCCAGTATATTTAACATTCGACTATCACATATCAAAACTATTTATACTACGGCCGCTTGCCCTGCTTTCGAATTCGGAGTACTAATTAATTTGCGCTCTACTAATTTTGTAATTTAAGCTTTTAGGGTCAATAATTAAAGACGATAATTGCGTGTAACTGTAATGCGATTTAGGCTATTGTTATTTTAATTAACGTATTTAGAAAACCCTGTCTGCATGTATCAATACTATTTGTGACCCTTTAGGAATTATTGACCCAATTATAATTAACAATACGCTAGCAAATATTACAAATATAGCTTCAAACGAGACAGGGATCTTTTATAAATAGCTTGATATATGGATCGCACGAATATGTGCTTACCAAATGTTAAATAACATAGTTATAAAATAACGTACTAATATGAACCCTATAACAATTGTGTTAGGTTGAAAATGCTGTAATATCCATGAGCTTGTGCTAATAATGTACGTGCTGTCCACTTGAGCGAATTGAGACGAGTGATTGAAACGCTTTTAAGTGTATTGACATCGATTTGATTGTTTGAAGGCAATTAAAATATATTTGTCATTGGACCTAGGGTCGTCGATCAATGTTGTCAATATAAATTACAAAAAGGTTAAGAATTTGTATTATAACTTTAGTGAGACATACTAATTTAATTATTATGTTTTCGGTTTACTCGACTAGTTTCAAGCCAATATGAGCCTCTAACATGGCTTGAAACTAGTCGAGTTCCTCGTCAAACATTTACACGAGTAATGCGAAAACATAATAATTAATTAACGTTAAGAATTATGTACTAAAAAGACTAGAAACTATTCCTTAGCGCAATAGTGGACAGAATATTCCATAAATCATGTATTGAATACCTTAGTTGAATAACAGTTAGGTTTAATTTCGCTTGCATGTATATCGGTATCATGACATTGTATGGTTGTTGTTGCATGGCGCGAGGTATTGGTCAAATTGTCATTTTGTCGTATTGTCTACGTCCTGTGGTGTCATAGTGTCATACACATTCATATTTATAGTTTTTATTAAGAGTCTGGCAAAATTTTTCAAAAGTATACTTTGTTTTTAAATATTTTAAGTTCATTTTACAGTACATTGTTTAGTTCATTTAATAATGTGCTATTGAGAGTAGTATTGTAATAACAATCTAATTTAATTAGTCCGGTTAATTTCCGTACGGAATATATTTTGTTTTAATTTACCTTTTCATATAAATCTATTTATCTACATATCCGTTTAATAATATGTAGAAATTTTTTTGTAACCGATCAAATTCATAGCATTTTGCTAGACTTGAAACATTTTTCATATTGACGTTAATGTTATTGTAAAGGTGTGACATAATACTTTAACATTATTCATAATAATTATGTCACTGATGAAAGTTATGTCACATTTTGATAAAATATTATAACCATACGTGTGAGAGATGGCGGTTAGCACATTACTGATAAATATATCTCAGACCAATTATATTTTTAAGGCCTTATTTACGGGTATCAATGAATGCTGCTCGTGAATATAAGCCCCTAGTGTGACTTGAAACCAGTCGTGTCAAACAGTTACGATAGTAAGCAGTTAAACATACTATTTAATTTAATATGTTTCACGAGAATTACAATACAAATAGTCTGCCATCATTCACAGTCACATTATAACATCATATAACCACCGCACCGGGTGAGCTGGGTGCCATATGTTTTACTTGTCGCTTGTCATTGTCTTTCACAGCCGACAGCCAGAATAACACACTAACAGACAAAACTGACAACCCGGTTCGCCTCATCAAACATCATCGGACAGAGTCCCTTCCAACTGGGTACCCTCTCTTCCAAGAACCTCTGAAGATCTCCCACGGAAGAACAAGGTCTGAGCCTTTGACCGGGGAAGAAGTAGATCGCGTGCTCGTTGAGAAAGGAGTGACGCACTCCTCGTGCAAGGCCATCAATGGAACGGACACACTGCCCAAGAAGACGCAGTGGTCGAGGCGGGCCTCGACGGGGACGCGGTTACATAAACTGTCGCCGGCTCATACTAAGAGTAGGTATTTTAAGGGAGCGTCCAATACTTATATACTTAAATTTTTTACTAGTTATTTTACTCAGTCAGTTAATTCAAGTTTTCAATAGGTACCTTAAATTGTCCAAAAATAAACACACTTTTATTCGTTTTGTACGTATTTTTCTAGAGGTTTTGATTGACAGACGTAAAACATTATGACGTCGTTAAGTATTTCATATAAAATTCACAGAAAAGATTTAATTAATAGTGTTGAATTTGACTCAGTTGTAGCACGGAGTCAGGAAATGTGACCTGTATAAAGCAATAGGTTCACCCTCTATTACATGGGACACACAACATAAATAGTGAAAAGTGGGTGCTACAGTGGCATTAAGTGCCGTAATGTTCACCTCTGTCTAGGCTTTCGAGGATAAAAGGCGTGGAATTTGACTTGTTGTAAAATACCGTATATAAGATTAAAAAAAAAATTTTTCTTTAATTTTGACTTGTAATGGACGCTCCCCACATTTCATGCATATCCATGATTAATCGTACATTGCACTGCACATTACTAACGTTTTTTTTTTGTTTTGTGTTGCCAGATTACAATGTTTTGTAAACTGGCAACTTTGTGTGGAATGTTTCTGTTGCGTTGTGTGAGCACGCTTACGAACAGACAGACAGACATAATGTGTGTGCATGGCTTTTTATATGCTTTTTATGTTGTTTTTTTTGTACGTTTGTTAATTTAATGTACAGACTACATAGTTATTATCACAACTGCAGCTGTAGCCAAATGCCACTTATCGCTTGTCTACATGTAGAATAGAAAACCAAATTATATGGAATTGACGTAAATTTTGACACTTGTCAGTGTCATCTCCATACATTTAGTTTTCTACTCTCTCTGTAGACAAGCGCTAAAGTGGCGTTTGGCTAAAGGCCCAGGTGAGTAACTTAGGAAAACTGAATAAAACTACTCAATGCGAATATTTTTAATTTACTCATTACGTAACAACCTTTTTGATTATTTTCATAATAATATGTGTTTGTAATTATGTATAGTAATGTTCATATATTTTTTTATAAACCGAATTATTTATTCCCAAAGTTATGTACTTATATGTATATTTTGTTACATAATATTTATTTAAAATTAACCCTGTGTAGACAAGTCAGTAAAATATGTGTAAAACCAATTTCCAAAGCAATAATTCACATTAAAATACTGTAATGTAACAAATGCTCCATTCTTGTAAACATATTTGTGTGAATATTTAACATCAAAGTTAATAAAAATAATTAACAAATTAATATCAAAACTGATTGTACATTTCCTAAGAAACTGTACAATTTTAGGAACTTACCGTTTTCGACAAATATTAGAGCTATAAGGAATCTGAATTAGTTCTACACTAAATTACATGTTACTTCTGCAAAATTGTACCTTATCACCTATACCAAAAGTTGCAATTTACTTAGCAGAAAGCACAAGCACGTCCCAATAAGCATGTTCAAAATACAACAATAAAAAAAATTAAGCTTTAAATCGAACAAAATAAAGTTACAATTTGAATGGTTTTGTTGCATCTGCCTGTCACGTTATTGTTTCAAATGATAACAACCACGAATTCAATATTATAGCACAAAATCCAAACACGAACAAAATTAAACTCTATGACATGAACACAAAGTGCATTTTACAATATAACGTTCACTGTTATGAACACAGAACAAATTAAACCTTACACTGAATGGAATAAGGTTTATATTGCAAATGTTAATGTGTTGGTTTGCTTACAGACGCGGAGACGTTACGGAACCGATGTGTTAGTATGCCGTCAAGGGCGTGTTCATCGTTTGAAGTGGACAGACCTTCTTCGAGATACCCAGATACTGATGGTAAGTTTTGTTTCATAATAATTTATCAAAGTATTGAAACTACATATTTTGTTATTTTAATTGTCACCAGTAGCGCCATCTCTTGTACAATGTCGAAACTAATATAACTGTTGAGTATGCCTCTCCCTCTAACCCTAAATCAGAGTATAGGGTCTGCTATATCGATTCCATTAACGACTTTATATAATTTAATCAGGAAGAAGAAGACGATAGACGATTCTGAAAAGAAGAAAAACAACAATTAAATTAAATTGTGACCTATGCAATCATGCATTAAGTCTATCTTTGCTTGTCACAACAATATTAATCGTATTGTTCCAGGTTTGGAAGTGTCTCGTGACGAGGCAGACGCAGTGACGGACTGGTATCGGACGCCGCGCATTCCTGAGGAACCAGACTGTTGCGACATATCTAGAGACTTTATGAGGTTGGTTTAGAAGATTTTTTTTAAAGTTCTCAGGTCTTTTGAATTGTATTTGAAGGTCCGTATACAACCAATAAATTCGTCATACACATCACATCCATCTCAAATGCATGAACTGTCCATTAGCCAGTAACCGATTCTCATGACCAATTTCCTCTCTCAGTCGATAACTTGTAAATGCTTTACAAAGTTGTTTTATGAAGCATTGCAAACGTCAGTTACGGCCCTGTTGGTGGGTTTAGGAGTAAAAAAGCTTTGAAAATGAATTTCCGGCCTACGGGTTATAAGTATTTGTGTTTAAGCTATGTTTCTCTTTGCAGCTCGTCCCTAGTGGGTGCGGGATCAGTAGCCCACTCGCGCACGTCGTCAGTGGGCGAGGCGGGCGCCGGGTACCTGCCCATGGCGCCCGGGCACGACCCGCTCGCGGGGCTTATCTCCGCCTCTAGCGGGTCCCTCTGTAGCGGGACCCCCTCCACAGACCCACGGTTTAGGTACGTATTCTAATAAAACGTCAACATATTCGCGCTGAACCCAAGTACTTATAAACCATCAGGAAGTCAGGATAATCGCTTTGAGTAACTTTTTGATGAGGTATTTATTATTGAATAGTAAGATAATGGTATAAAGGTAAAGTTGTATGTGTTTGGTGCAGTGAGTACCAGCTAGAGCCCGCCACCTCCCACATCGGATTAGAGCGCCCCCCGCGAGCCTATAGCGTGGGGTCTCGGCCGGCCGGGGCCCCCGCGCCAGAGGCCCGCCACCGCGCCTACAGCGTGGGGGCCCGGGCACGACCCCCGCGGCACCCAGTGCGACCCAACACTGATGACCACATGGAAATTGACTTCTCCAATAATTCCCCTGCGAACAGGGTAAGTATCTTGTGACTGGTTTATATCTCTTGAATGTGGTGATATTTTGGAGTGCTCATAACATATTTCATGTATCGTTAAAGCTATCATCTCAAGTCATATCGCGCACCCCACCGACGGCGTGCTTCGTAGAGCCGCGACCGAAAACGAACGTGGACGAGTACGTGGACATGTCGCCGCGCAACGCGGGTTACGTGGAGATGCGGCCCGGCGAGCCCCGCGCGCGCACCCCGCCGGCCTCTACCCCTATCCCCGTGGCCCCCGTGACCCCCGCCACGCCGGCCACGCCAGATGGGTACGTGGAGATGCACTACGGTCGTGCGGCCACGCGGCCAATCGCCATCGGTGCCCCCCGCCCCCCTCCCCCGCTGGCCGCGTCCCCGGACGAGCGCCGCCGCCGCGAGCCGCGCACGCCGCACGGCTCGCAGACACTGTTCGACATGTCGCTGGACTCGCCCGCCTCGCCGCAAGATGCAGACACTGACATACTGGAGGAGGACCCGCCACACCACCCGCTCACTACCGTGCGGGAGATATCCGAGGACGGTCGCCGGAGCCCCGAGGTGGTGCCCGCAGCCCCGCGACGGAGCCCCGAGGTGTCGGTGTCACCGCAGTATGTGACGCTGGCCCTGACGGCGGCGCCCCCTAAGACGCCGGAGCCCTGCGGAGATGAGCTGTCCTGTAACCCCACCGCTAATAAGACTATCACTAGGGTACCTGACCCTATCGAAACTAGAGGTAAGTTCTTTTTTGTAACTTTTTCTAGGTTTACAATAATTCATGTTAATATTTTATAATAGAATTCTTGTGACACATAATAAACTATTTGACGAGGAAATTCTACCATTTGGTTTGTGCATTGACGCTCATAAATTGTGAGCAGGTAGCGAAGCTAGAAAAGAGTTGAATTACTTTGTCAAACAATTACGTAAACAGTGGTTACACAAATGGTAATAATAGTTTATTTACTCAATGAATGAACACCATTAGCCCAATAGTGTCGTTTTGTATGGTACTGACCGTGGTCCCCCCGCAGGCAGCGAGGCGGGCGGCGCGGCGCGCGTGGTGGCGGGCGGCGGCGCGGCGGCGCGGTTCAGCGTGGAGGGCCGCCCGCTGAACTACGCGGCGCTGGACCTGGAGCCGCGCCGCGCGCTGGCCGCCGCCCAGCAGCGCGCCTACACGCAGATCGACTTCATTCGCAGCGAGAAGCTACACGTCGCCGACACGTAGGGGCCTACTGACATTATGTAGCGATAGTGAATTCGGTTGCCGTTATTGATAAGCTGTGAATGTGTCAAATTAATGCGTCAGACTGAATCTTTTGTCGCGGTTTTGATTGGCTGGGACGATAAGTCGCATCTGTACCTTTTTAAATAACCGACTTCATAAAAAAAGGAGGTTTTCAGTTTTACTTGTGTGTGTTTTTACGCATAAGCTTTAATTTTCTTGTCCGACGAGTGTGAGACTTCACCTATTTTCTTTTACAGTAAACATGTTCACACTGTTAGTTTATTCATTGGTTTTGCAAAGTTGTAGTTATCCCAGGTTCGACTTATCGCGTCCCGCCGTAGGCACGCTGTGCGTTGTAGCTGCAGTGTTGATGGATCGCGTACGATCGGCGTGCACGCCGCATTTATATGAGCCGTAGCCACACTGCTGTATCAGTTACTCTTTGATAACTTAAACTCATCTTTAAATAGTCTTCAAAGAAGACTATATTATTATATATTTAAAAATTCGTAAAACTGAGCAATATAATTGTCTTTCTTGGAGAAAATGTTTAAATTCGGTTTTTAAATTCAGTTCTTGACTCTCATGAGTTGTTTTACAGTAATAATAATTAAGCAAAGATCAAAACATTCCGGTGTCAATGGATTTGGATATTTGCTTACATTATTCCTTCTAAAGAAAATTCAACATTGTAATCAACCAATAAAAATGAAGTAAGTACTTTAATATCAAAATAAGAATAACTGATACACGTTGTTGGGTACAAGTAATGAGATCACCGCCGCTTTATCATTCGTCGTCAGCCTGTACCTTAGAGGCAGTTCGGTAGTGTAATAAACGAAGCGATATCTTTCACTATTATTTTATAGGCCGGACTGGGACACGTATACTTAACACAAGCATATCAAGCTACCCCAAAACTGTACAATACATTTTCAACTTTATGTCAAAGAAAATAAGGTTTAAAATGTATTATTGTGTAACTTGATTTGCGCAGTATGACATGTTCTACGCCCGCCTGCAACTTGTATTAGACTCGATGTCGCTTGCTTCTGTTACTATTTAATAGTACACATTATTTTGTTATTAATTTTATTCTTATTACATTTTTATTATTATTGTTATGAGACTCCAGTGATACGTTTGTATAGCAAACATATAAATATATGATATGACACTAAGAAATTATACTAAGTCTAACTCCAAAAGTTTTCACTAAATTAATTAATACATTATCATGTTATTTTATTGATTTGTAATTAAATATTTATTTGTTAGATGTTAGTGTATCTCTCTAGTTCAATACAATCGCGGATAAATCATTACGGGATAAAATGAAATGTAGAATATACGTGCACGGGAACGTTTGAGTGATGAGTTGTCGCGTTGGTCCGTGAAGGAGTTAAAGTAAATATAATATTTGTAATTATTGTAAAGCCAGGTTGTGAGAGAGGCCTACCAATAGTTGGTACAATACACGATTTAGTTCCGATGACATACTACCTACTGTGTTCTTAGAATACTCTGTGCAATTTTAAAACATGATATAATTGTTATTTCTACAATGTTATTGTTTGTTATCTGAGTTATTGTTCCGTTCGTCATTATTATACACGTACAAAATATAACAAAAAAAACAAATACATTATATTTATTGATGTTGAACGCTAGCCTAAACAACATGGATTATTTTTTTAATTAATGAAGCTAGCGCTTACATTTCCACCGATTTTAGTATTTAAATGAATGAAAATAATAGTTATGTCCTATATTTGATAGAGCAGTGTTTTTAAAATGAAATAATCTCGAACGGAACATTAGGTTTTGTATGTAATCGTATGTAGACGATTACATATCGAGCCAGCAATCAAGTTAGACAATGATATATAGAATAAGTTCACTGAACTTGCTGTTTACTATAAAAAGTCAATTTTTTTCTAAATTCATCTTTGGATTTTGCGTTCTTTTCATCATATTGCTGATAATTGTCATGGAAGGTAACTTCTTTAACGTTAACTGTTACAGAAACAAGTGAATATATGAGAACGTATCCATATTAGAATTATGTTGAAATGTCATATTTCACAAAAAATATATAGGTACTATTCTATAGTATTGTTTTACACAATTACAATAAAGCACGTAATTGATTATATTACTCATATTTACAAGTAAATAGCAAGTTCAATGAACAAAGTTCGTAAATTATGTGTTCAATACAAATCTGTTTTTATCTTATGACTACTGTTTATATTTGAAGCGAATATATAGGAATATTTTTAATCAAACAAAGTTGTCTTATAAACACATGCATAAGGTCGATATTACATAGTTATTTTTGTGAATAAATCATATTTAAGTCGTTCTTGTTATGAAGCTTCGCGATGTTCCCAACGGATTAAAGAATATTTACTTTGTTTATTTATGTATCAAAGTCAATGCTTAAATTATACTCCTCCAAATCATTAAAAGATTTCCATTTGTATCTAAAAGAGGTGAATAATTTTAGTGTTGATTTGTCTAAACAAAGATGGTAAAATATTCATTATTTTGAAGTGTACAATATTTTATTTTAGATAAATACTATCACTTATGAAGACTGTTAACTACAGCTCAACTTTTGGGTAATATTCTATGAACAGGCGAAGCTTCAGTAACGAGACAAGACAACGAGATATCGTTGTACCCTAAATGAAATTATATCGTAACTGACTACTCACAGACAGATGATCCTATCATAGTTCAATTTACAACGTTCCCGGTAGATAAGTGCTGTTATAACGACTGTATGATGAGAACAGTATGAAGTCGATTTCATTATTGAGCAAAAATAGTGGGGATATGTTTGCTATAATTGTTTTGCCATTGAATTGAATCAATATCTTATTAACAAAATGGCTTCAATTGGGATGATGACAAGGTATGAAAATTAAAAATATAATTAGTCCGTAAGTTACGTAATGAAAAAATATTAGACACGTATTTTTTTATTTTGTCGTATAATAAAACGATACTTAGATAAAACGAATCAAAGTTTAGGAGTGGGGTCTAAAACGTCATTTCTACGTTTAAAATGTACATAGAAGTGACGTCACGCGACATTTCAAATTAATATATCGTCGAAAGTATTGGTTTCTGTAAGAAAATAAAAAATACGTGTCTAATGATTTAAAATAATCTACCAGACGGACATTAAAATAAAAATTAGTCATCTATCCTATTTCAAGTCCATTGGAGTAACGAATGATCCTATTAGCTCTATAATTTTCTTTAACTTTTCTCATCATACAGCCGATGAAAATTAAGCGCCTCACAAAAGTATAAATTGAGATAAATACAGAATGTTTAACATTCCGACTTTAAACAATCGATTAGCCTACTGTGTTCAACCTCCTTAAGCCATAGCGTAGTAATAGACAAGCTTCCTTCGCCCGCGCTCGACTTAAAGTAATGGGACCTGTATAAACGTGACTGAGACAACACCAAATTTTATAATAAAAAAAAATGTTATTTATTCCCGCGTAAGTAAGCGAGCGGAAAGTCTCCGCCAAACGTGAAACGTTAGACTTTTCCCTCTGAGGGCCTAGTGTCAGTTTGTTTTACTTTAACGCGACCGACGTTTATGACGTTCGACGCTCTGATTGGCTTGCTAGAATTCGACCAACCAATAAGGGTTGAACGTGGCAACGTTTCGATTGCGTTAACATAAACATTAACTCGTAGGCCCTCTGATTGTACTGTAACGTTATAAGCTTTAAGTATGCCAGGTGAAATCAGCACAAGTTTCTGTTTAGTCTAATATTTTTATCTCGCTTTAGGATGTTTTGTTTTGTTCAATTTGGGAGGTTTCTTTATAACAATTGAAGGAAGAAATCACATGAATACAAGGCACAGTTTTGTTAATTCAGCTAATAAAGAAGGCTCCCACATTAAGACGTTACTCCTAAAGCCTGAACGATATTAGTGCCCATTCATCGCTGTTATCAACGTTGTATTTAACTGATCGTGTAGTAGTATAGTACAATTTGGCAAGGCCACTGTTTTACATTTTTGTACCTATTTTAATATTTTTTAGAATGAAATACTCGCTCTTTGTTTGAGCGGATGTCTAAGCTGGTTGAGAGTTATAAGCAATTTTTGCGAGAGTATTTCTCACTTAGTAAATGTACTGATGATTTAATCTAAGTCATCCTAATGACTTTGTGGATATGGCAATCTTTATCACAATTAAACTTCTAAGATGTTGCCAGTTCTAAAAAAAAACTACCAAAAATTGTTTAGTTAATTTTTAAGTATCGCCCGATACTTTTCTCCATTATTAAACCGTACTTTTGATTGATGATCCCCATTTAGACATATCTTCATTCGAACGCGATGTCTCAACCAGCTATTTAGATAAGCCAATTCGCAGATTGCTAGTGCCACCTCGCAGTTACGTAGTACCATATTTAGATACATATTGTAACACTAATATATATATTGTATATTATTATACATTTACTATATTCCACTTAGTATAAGAAGTGTTGAGTTTAACATAGGTGTAAGGATAGACGGGTACAGACGATAGCGTTGTGTAGGACATTGGATAGAACCTCCTTTTATAATATGCCCGCAATAAGCAATCTTCCAAGGAATATTATTAGTTAATACTATTCACATAAATGTGTTTTTAGCGTGTTCGTTGTCTGTTCAGGCAGGGTGTTAGTGTAATTGAATTAATATGATAAAATCATATACGGTTTTTTGTATTTTTGATTGAAATACTGCATGTTTTATATTTTAAAGTGGGTACTACGTGTACAATACACAGTTTTTTAAATAATGTTTAAATCCTGCCTGTACTCCCGAGCATGTTTCTTCTCCAGTAACTAAATGCAAGGTCACAAAACAGGTTCAAGATAAATAGAAGCCAAGCATATTCTAAAAGGAGCTTTTGGCTACATTTACATTGGTGAGACTTGTAATATGTGACATCGAAAGCTAGTGTGAATGCGGCCTTATTTTAATATATTTATAAATAATTAAAAAAATATATACAACATAATTTACCAAACTCCGCGTGTTACGTCATGACAAGATGCGAGTTGTTTTTTTTTTAAGAAATCTATACTAGTCCCATTGCAAGTTAAACAGAATTTTTGCATAAAAATGTTCCTGTAAACGGCGTAAAGGTTTTTATAAGGTTTAAATATAAGTTAAACTATTGTAACGTCTAGAACAGTTTGTATGATAGAGGTTTAGTACCTGGGATGAGTCGCCACGCTGCGCTGCGACCGCTTGCCGTGACGTCACGCGCGTCACGGCGCGATCACCACACGATGAGACAAATTCTCTTGTTTTGGAAATGGAAAAAATATAATTATATTTTTTTACAAATGGTGCTACCGATTTGTGTTTTAGTCGATGATAGCTTAGCCGCTCTTACTGCCATGTAGATATGTGAAGTATCGTTGCGGGCGCGTGAGACGCGCGCGCATATCACAATCTGTTAGATATAGACATCACCACGTCAGAAGTAGCTGTAGTCATAGCTTTTGTAACTTGCAACGTTGTTCGCGGCCTGCCCTTGGAGCGGCCTGGGTCCCTGCGGGGCCCGGGTCGTCCGCCACGCGGCCCGGGCCCCGGCCCCGGCCCAGCCGGCCGCTACCAGTGAGTGCACTATGAAGTATCACAATGTCAATCGTTGATCGATGCGTGCCACTCGGTCGGCGTGTCCGCCGTTAAATTATATTAAAATATCTAAATCTAATTTCTTTGGTACATTAAAATTTTGTTTACTTTCATATTATTGTAAATAAAAAGAAAAATAAAAGCTTTGGATTTGCGCATTTGTTTATTTATTGTGTTTCCCTATTTTAATACGAAGAATCGGTGACATATCAATAGACACGTCAGGTAGTTTGTTGAGAGTAAAACAAAAAATTAAGAAATACTGTTTATTTAATTAATTATTTTACATAATAATTACATATTGATCACACAAAACGAATGCATAATTATTAACACAAACCCGCTCACTAAAACAGTGGCACAACACTATTAGTACAACAATCCAAACATAACACATTTAACATTAGGTATCCCCCCTCCCCCATCTAACTACCTAATTTCACCAACAGGAACATTTTCTTGATATGAACAAGAATTTTTAACATGCAATTATTTATTAAACCTCCTGAGACCTTCCTACCAGTAGATTAACCTACTAATTTTTTTTCATTGCATTTTAGACTATATCAAAACAATAGTAGACAATCTAACAAAAGGAGTAGGCTGATCTGCTGGCCTCTGTATCTCTATACAATATTAAAAATATTATGCATTTTCAACATATTGTGTATAAAAGCCACATAATTCCTGTATGATTTGACAACTTCAATGGAAATTGGATCTCAACAACATATGAATATGGTTCAAATCTGCTCAACAATACTATGTAGCTGACAAGCATGTTTCACAATCAACATTGCAATATATTTTTAAACAATCTCAAACTGTTTTAGTGAGTTATCAAACTTCAACAAGTAAGTACAAATTATTATCAATGGTAACAACTGCTATATAGACTTTATTACAGTCGCAATTAAGGCGCTTTTAGCAAGTGTAACCATTGAACAACAGATAAAAAGGTATTGTGTTCCAATTCTATTGTAAAAACAACATAACAATCATTAAAATAGGGTGGGAAATCCAATGTAATGTCACAATTTTGAATAAAACGTGATATTGATCAACATAGGATTTTCAATCTTAATATCTAAAACTGAAGGTACAGTTTCTATTTGAAATCAATTCTGTTATAAATAGTTAGGTATTACGGTGGATTAGTTATATTATTAGTATTAAAAAAAAAGATTTGTGCTCTACACCTTTCTTTGAAAGAAAACCACAGATTATTAAATAAAATATTAAATCATTATTATCATTAATTTTCATTATAGAAAAAGTACAAAATGGAATTATTTAATTATTTACAGAGGTATGAGACCTCTTTAAGCATTAATTCTACTTGTATAAAATTTGTTATGATATGATTAATTGTTTTTTTTTATATAATATATGGATAAATTGTTTATAACGGAAGTTATTGCGCCACTACAGGTATAGCACAATTAGTCTTTTGAAACTTAAAGTTAGATTAACAGGACAAAATGCTATAAGTGTACACTAGCGCCAACTATTGAGCTAAAAAGAACAGTAAACTAAAAAAAATCAAAACAAATGTATTTGATAATAATCTCAGTATTATAAGACAGGTATCTGAACTAAAATATTATTAAAACTTAATTATTGAACTTATTTAAATCATTGATTGGTTAGGAAAGCAACATTGGAATTTGAAAGCAGTCTGAAAATAACAAAAATAAAAAGGAAATGCTTTCAAGTCTAGTTTTGTTGTCCATATGATATTAAAAATTATATTTTTTACCAATCAATAAAATCAAGGTATCAAGTAGATTATGGATTATATTATTAAAGCTAGTTATAGTGGGATTATATTGTTTGATGGCACGGGCTTTAAAGTTACGTAAGTACTACCAATTCTTTGTCAAATATTTCAATTAGAATAACATAATATAACAGTGAGTATGTTCACAACTTTCGCATCCGAGGGCGGGTTTATTATTAGTTGGCTAAAATTATGTGACCAATAACAAACTTACTTGGGTGGCGACCGCCCATTTACAACGGTAGGGAGATCTTTCCAAGACTTCCCTTTTTTCACATTCGTAACCTTTTTCCTAATTACTCTCTTAACAAGTACCTCTTCATTTGATAGTAATTTTCTCTTGGGCTTAACTTTAACCTCCTTTATAGTGAAGGAATCATCGAATATGTCCCCGCTTGAGTTGATACCACTGTTCTTGCTACTGTCACCTACTATTTCACTGATTGGACTATCGAAGGACACATGTCTGGAAGTATTCAGTCTCGGACTGTACTTATTTTTCTCAATCGATGTCTGTGTGGCTATGTTGGTGTGGTTCTCCTTAGCAGGGGGCGTGGATGTTGGGTTTAACCTCGTCTTCTTAACTTTAACCAATACAGCTGGCTCTGATGATTTCCTTTTAACTTTTGTCTTTCTTTCTTTCACTTCTGGGGCCTTATTCTCTGTATCTGCATCTGTAACCTTGGGTTTTCTTCCTCGTTTCTTTGGCACATCTCCATTTTGTTTGGTAGCCTTCACAGGTGCTTCAGCCTCTTCATCAGAACCATCGCTGTCTACAGCAATAACTCTCTTTGTTCTACCTTTGCTTGGTGACTTAGTCTTACTAGGAGAGAATTCCAAAGTACTATTTCTAGTTTTGCCTTCAGTCTTGAGGTAGTCTTCGAACAATTTTCGACATTTCTTGTAATCTGGTACTTCTTTAGGCTTCATTGTGTTTATATATTCAAAGAATTTGATTAGTGCATCTAGAATGGAAATGTATAACCTTTATATTTGGACACATAATTCCCTAACTTCAAAAGATAAAATATAAATGACAACTCACCAGGTACATTGCTAGTCATGCTCTTTATTTTAGTTCGAACACTCTTCATGAACTCTTCCTTCATGGCTTGCACTGTCTTTGGTTGCTTGAGGGACTTCTCCCAGGGCAGCTCTCCTACCAGCCACTGCAGCATATTGTAGCCAAGGATCTCCAGGTCTCCGCGCATTGTAGGCTCTGGAATATAACGATTTATATTATTCCTGACATTATAACGGAATGATTTGTTCTTTTGGTGACCCATGATAGTCGCCTTTCTTATCCATTTTTGTCTAAAGTTCCATATTATTGGTTTAAATATTTTTAAATGAATGTTTTCTCAATGTATTCTTATTAATTTAAAATCAGAAGTTACATTTACCTCCCAAATGTGCATCTCTGCTTGTGTATTCAATGGTACCATTGTGTGCACTCTTTGGGTCCGGGGTGAACGGCTGGTCCTCCTTCAGTCGCGTGGCTAGGCCAAAGTCTACAAGATATACTTGGTTCTTAGCAGTTTTCTTTAGACCAAGTAGCATGTTGGCACCTTTGAGGTCCGCATGTACGTAGCCACGACTGTGTATGTACTCTAACACGTCAAGCTGAAATAATAAACACATACTTACATACACAAACAAAAAAAAATAAAAATCTTATTGTATTTTGTTTTCGTTGAGGCAGTGCTCAATGCCCGTTTTCAAGGACAATGAGTATAAAAAATTGTTGAATGTTAAATACGTAATACATTAACATAAAGATACAACACCGGGTAGACAGATAATGTGTTTTATAATCCTTATTTAACGATGCACAAAATAAAAATAAATATCATACTCTAAAACCAGAAAATATAAATAATAGAATAGAATAGAATAAAGCTTTAAAATTTAATAAACATTCAGGATATCAATAAAATGTAATCTTGATACTAAAAAATCACTGCATAGACAACACATGATTATTAAATAAAGCATACCTATACTTAAAAAAATATATTTAAATCTTTACCATCTGTAAACCTAATTGGAAGACAGTAGCTGGTGGGAATGACTTTCCGGCCTCGGTGAACAAACTCCACACATCTTTGCCAAAGCGCTCCATGACCAAGTATCTATAAGTGACTCCATTGCTTTCATGGGACCCCTTGCCGAAGTATGTTGGCATGCCCAAGCTTGTCAGCTTTCGGCTTTGCATGAACTTTGCAACTGAAATAATTGAAATGTTAAAATGCATGCAACAACATTAGCATTAATTTGCAAGATTAATATTAAAATATCTCTCTTGGTAATATTTTTGTTGCATTGCATAAGTATGGGACGACATGCTCCATCGTAGACCGCTACATCGCTTACCACCAAGTGAGATAGTGGCCAAACGTCGGCCCATCAAATATAGATTAAAAACAGCCATGTCTGTAATATGACAACGAATTTGTCACAACAAATTCTGTAACTACAGAAGACTTAAGCACAACTTGAAAATGGAGTAGTGACAGTTTTCAGGCAATAGAATTCTAGATGTACAAAAATTTATCTTCACAATGATTATTATCATCATCATAATATCAGCCGGTTAGAAACAATGGCTCACTGCAACCTTGTATTAATTTGGTCACCCACCCACAAGGTTGACAAACAACCACAATGATAAAATCTTCATAAAAATACAAATACATTATAATCTGAATTTCAAGGTAAAAAATTCAGGTGTATGTAAAACAACACCTCCAATATTGATATAAGTGTTCCAGGCAATTTAGCATTTCATTGTAATAATGTCAGAATATTTGCATTTTTACTTTACAAATAGTTATAGAGAGGTCATTACACTGCAGAATATGTTTTGTTACATGTAATACTTAATTTTAATGTAATGTAGAAGCAATGTCTATCAACTTATTTATTTGTATACAATCTATGGATAACAATTGCGTTAAACTGTCAAACTATTATTCTACTATTGTTCTTTAACTCGTCAAGTACCGTATTTATAGACACAATTAAAGAACAATAGGTTGCGGTCACCGGTGACCGCTTGGTGTTTGACAGTTTAATTGTATCTATAATGTCGGTACTTGACGAGTTAAATTAATATTTGCATTTGACATGATAGCATATTTGCAACTAGATGTAAAAAAGTATTTTGCCTGCCTCTGAAGATACAACAGCTCTATAACATCATGTAACAAATTAATATTTACATAAAATATGGAAGCCAGCAGTTATAAACTTCACCTAATTATGTTAATAATTGTATATAGATAAACAACAATTTACCTCAAACAATTCAATGACTTTATTGAAGTGTTGTTATAAGTATAATAATAGTAATATTGATAGTTTTAATGGTAACTTACTGTCATCTTTGTTGGCATTCCTGAGATAGAAATTTATTTCCACAAAAAGCGGTCCATTCTCATGAGGCTCCTATTGGAAAATACATTAAGATATCATTAGTTACTTGTTTCTGGGTAAGCAATATTAGAAACTGGTTGTTTGTTGGTTTACTTACAATTTTTATAGCGTAGGGGTAATCTGACCCTTTGGCTTTCAAAGTATGGTCGCAGGCAGAATATATTTCTCCAAATCCTCCTACACCAATAGACGGTCCTATCCGCCATTCCTTTTTGAAGAGAGTATCCTTAATAACTTCACCAGTAGGAATAGGAGCTGGCATTTTATAGCCAGCGGCTTTTTTCTTGGGTGCTGCCTTTTTCACGCGCCCAGCCATGACTTAGGATTTTAATTCTCACAAATAACAAAACGACATCTAATAACAATGAGGACGAATTGAATACAATTGAGTTTCGTTCGAATTATCTAAACAAATAATATTCAACAATTGAAAGCGACGCTACCGTTGGTCGTGACTTTGACTGTTGGTTGACAATTTGACATGACAACGGATGGCATTACGTCGCCCGCCATTTTTTTATAGACTTTTGAACTTTATGGTTTGCGTTCCAGTAACATAATTTTTGTATTCATAGCATTAAGCTATGAACTAAGAAGGTTTTCATTATCTATTGATGTCGATAGGGATTTCTCTAAAAAGACTGGAATTTTAATAAAAACGTTCCCCAGACAAGGTTTTCCTCTTGTGTCGTGGGTGCAAACAAACATATAAATTCACATACACATGACTTCCATACCCGAAACCATACAATTTGTCGAAAAAGTTGTCCCGTTCGGGAATCGAACGCGTTATACATTGCGTGGCAGCCGGTTGCCCAGCCACTGCGCAAACTATGCAGTCAAACTTACTATACTTACTATAGCGAATAAACTTTTTTTTTGTTATGTTATCTCCCTTATAACATTTAACCTTCTTAGAGACAAATTAAAGTTTAATTAAAATAAATTAAACTTAACTTGTCTTGTCCGTTGTCCAGATCAGAAAAACCTTGTTCGATCTGAATATCGAATACATTAATAAAGTCATGGCTCGGTAGTCCTGCTCCTGCTGGTAACCACTTCGGGACATTCACCTAATACATAGGTACCTACAGTTGAAATATAAAAGAAAGAAAATTAAGAAACACCTTTTGTATAAAAATATAACTTTATTGATAATATTTAATTTAAAATCAACGTGTAATATTATGTTAACATTTCTTTACAACATTTTCACTAGCCTTACAAAATAAGTGTTATATTTTATAAAACTATCTTTATAAATTCACATTACAATATTAATATTTACACTTAAACTATTAAGAAAAATAACAATTAAAATAATTTAACTGGGGGTATATTTATAAGTCTTGCAAATAAATAATTTTACAGATTAACGTAATATGGGCACAAACAAAAAACTGTAAAAATGACAAACATGGTGGGTTCTCATAAAATAACTGCCGTTTACTGTAGAAGGTATCTATGTCAGTCTGATTGAAGTATAACCTGAAACAAATGTACAATAAATTAGGAGGACAAGTATCGAATTACTTACTTAAACATAAGCACTTTTCACAGACAGATGCAAGCAGGGAAGTACAAAGTACCTACAGTTTAGTTAGACTCTTGTTATTATTGTCATTATCATCTTGGAACTGAATCTGCTGAATTAATAGTGAGCAAAGGCCGGTAAAGGAGAAATGAGCAATAATCCGTTAATTGGCAATTTAGAACTTCTTAGAAAGTATAAGCCATACCCTCGTGCTTAAAAAGCGGGTACATTAACACTTTATACAGATACTGTTCATTGGAGTCTGACCCAGTCTGATATTCATTCCCTATTAATTATAAAACTTACATTAAAACAAATCATCATCATCGCCGTACGCCGACATGGAGTACCAATCCCTCGCTACATCTTCATAGATGACCCTCTTGACTTCCTCGTCATACTGTGGATGTAGGATCCTGGGTGACCGGGCACGGAACTCTAGGGGCACGTCATAACACTTGCAGACGCAACAGGATGGGAATTTGAACCACTCGGCGAAGATACCACGACACTCGTTGCGAGGGTCGTATGCAAGTAGACGGTGGAGACGGAACTGTTGCTCGCATCTGGAAGTTAAAATAAAATATGATTTAGCTTGTGTGGTAACTATTAAAGATAGTGGGGTAGATGTAGTCTAAGTGCAATACTCAGAGACATTTAATGATTACATAAACTATTCACTAGTTCCGAAAAAATGCTAAGGACTGGGTTAAGATCGAGTTCGTTTCCTGGAGGAAAGGTTATTCATTAAATATTTATAGTTTTAAAAAATACCAGTAGCAAATGGCTCCTTCCTCGTAACTTACTTTATTACTAAAGAAAAGATAGTACTGCATTTAATATGCGTACTAACTAAAAAGCGACGTGTTTAATAATTATAATATGAGTGTATACCTGCACCCCTCCCGACAGTACATCTGCTTGCGCTCATGCACGCATGTTTCCAGGTGTATGTACTGCTCGTAAGGGTACATGTTGAGCAGCGCCAGTTGCTCCCCGCGCGTGCTGTTCGCCCAAAACGGCGCTGCTATCTGCTCTTTGGACTCGCAAGCGTTACTGGAAGTAAGCAAAAAATGGCCCTTTACATAGGTAATATATTTCAAATATCTCTCGAATTTGTTTCATAGTTTTAAAACTATGAGTGAGTTCTTTAGTATAAAAGAAACTTACGCTCCTCGTAGCTTGATAACAGATGGCCTCATCGACTCCTGGTGCTGCACTGGTTTTGGACGGAACTCCTCCTTTTCCGGCAACTTAGTGTCTATCCGGTCGGTTATCTTGACCTTCTCATGCTCAGAGAACAGGAGTGTCGGTGGTAACGTCGAGGTGTCAACGTTCATTGGTCGCCAGTCCTTGCCCGCCTCAGTAGTCGAGTCATATCCGTCAGTTGTGGTCTCTGTAGTGTTAATACTTTCAGTTGTAGTTGCGTTTTTGTCTGTACTATTCTTTGTTTCACTAACTGCCTCAACCTTATTATTACCGTAAAACTTTGGGTATATGCTATTAGTCTCAATACTTTGTTTTATTACAGCCTCTAAAGTAATAACATCTGGCTCTAAGTTATTTATTTCTATATTTGCTATGCTTTCAAGTTTTGTTTTATATGATATACCTTTTTCATTTACCGTTTCGTTGCTCATCTCAGTTTTGGTGCCGTTGTCCGTGTTGCTCAGTTTTGTTTGATTTGTCTCTAGGGGTTTCACTTTGAGAGTGTCATTGTCTAATTTTTTGTTCTTTTCGCTATTGATTGGTCTGAAGTGTGGTTTGTCTTTCATGGCACGTCCTTGACTCATTTTGGTGTACATCATCTTAGTTTTGATGATGTCCTCTGCGAAGTCTGCTGACTTTCCATCAAAGTCTTCGTCATCATCATCTTCTATGAAATTTTCAAGTTCTGCTTTAATAATAGATATCTGTCGTTCCTCTCCGTACATTCTCCGCATGAGGCCCTGTAACGATTTGTGTTTTGATTAGTTTTGTTAACTTTAGGTACCTACTGATAAATGTTCTGCATGACATTACAGCCTGTTTCCTTACCTGGTTCTCTCGGACGAACCTCCTGATGGCATGCCAGGGATAGTTCTTTCCCGGCGTGGTGCAGTAGTTGTGCTTGGAGAGGTCACACGGTGCATCAGGTAACGCCCGGCCTCGGCTCGACCTGTTGGGCCGTGCACACGCCGATGCGTAGTCGAACCCGGCACATTGCCCTGCTGTCCATGTCGCCTGAAATTGTATAATGAGGAAAATCATCATACTGGAAACAAAGGTAAATATAAAAGACCCAAACTTCACAAAAATCGACTGAATTTGTCCTATAAAGGAGTCAAAATAGAAAATTATATTCTTAAAACAAAATATCTATCAAACAGATTGATCGTAGAATTTAAAGAGCACATAGATTCGTAGTATCGTATGTAGGTGACGCACCTGTAGAGCGTAGTGAATGAAAGTTACGCCCACGGCCACTATTAGCATTGTTAATGGTATTGTTTAGATTTATGCATTTCCTTAATTATCTACCGTCTAAATGTGTATCATGTTTTAGTTTCTTTTTCCAAATACATCAGGTTTGACGGCGTGCAGAGACGTGACGTTCAAAAAGTGTTTTTTTAAGATTCTACTGATTATTTCTGATCGAAGCGTTACTCACTCAACACTCTTTGAACATTTGTATCGCCTTACGAAAGTTAATTACCACATAAAGGACTTGTCGGAGACACAACCGTGACCAACAACAGTAACATCACCGAACTTTTCATGGAAGTTGTAACCAACGAAGATGGTCAGCTATCTGAGTCTCAGTGCTTGTTATTGGTGCTACTAGGCAATGGGTTAATAACCTCCCACTATTTCACTATTACAAACTTTTCACTCCGTACGATATGGCCATCCAGCGGCTACATATTATGACTCTTTATTAAAACCTATCAAACACTTTTATAGTGTAGTAAATAAATACTTACTCATGTGTTGGGACTACGTACCTATTATTTTAGTGCTAGATTCAAGCCTATTTACTTACATTTAAAACTATCTCTTAATTTAATCTACCACAGTACGACCATACTGCAATAGATGAGGAAGATATAAAAACAAGTACGAATAAACAATTAAAACTTCAGATTAACAAATTAGAGATAAGAATGGATTTAAATCTCATTGCATGATTAAAATAGGCTTCAAGATACTGAGTAAATTCACTCAAAAGCTAAACAAAACCAAATCAAAAGTATAGTTACTCCTACGCTTGAAGAAATAACAAAAGAAAAACATACAAATTAGGTACCATAACGCAAAATTTTGATGCTTAAGAAAAATAAACAGGAGAGAGCGATAAACACATATTCGTGACCTGCCACACTTTAATGTAAATTGCGTGTTTGTTTTTTGTCCATCCGTCGACGGTAAGTGCACCTTTTTTGATCCGTCAACTAAAATCACTACTTATACTGACAAACGTATGTGGAGCGGAGCCGCGGGCGATCGTACATCGGTTAATGAGATCCTAGTCGTTTTCACTTTTGCACAGCGACTTTCTACTCTTAGCCACAAACTCACGTACCTACGCACTATTTTAGGGGTACTATTGCGCAAGAAGGATTATCAACTGCATCTAATAAGGATCGATGAGTAATAGAAGAAAGAGTTAAAAGAGAAAGTCTGGTAATTCATTGATAGGGTTACCGAACGGTTGTAAAGGATTTTCTTATAAGGTTGGGTTGGAGTTTAGGGACTGTGGGGACGTTGCGAAACATATAGCTCTTGTAAATGTGAGTATAATG